AACCTCTAGCTTGAATTTAGAACTCAAGGGTTGCCATAGACTGTGAGCAGTCTCTTATTTTTCTTTGCAAAGTTACTGCACGAAAAAACCCAAGCATGGGAGCGGCGAAGCCGTGAGCCGCGATAAATGAGGGCGTAAGCCCGAGAAGAAAAAAATAAGAAACTGCTGACTCTTTTGTTCTGTCTGGGGACAACGAAGCTGTCAAGGAAGTTTAATTAACCAATTAAACCCGAGTAACTTGAAACGATTTATAAATTTTTTGACTTTAATAAACTTTATTGACTTTATCTTCATTACCAAAACAATAACAAATGAAAAAAAAGTAAAATAAAAGTTAAGTAAGAAAGAAAGGAACAATTGAATATTATCATGAAAGAAAAAATTACTTGGCTATGTACGGCTTCAACGCTAGTCGTATGGTAAGAAAGTTTAATTAGAGTTCGGATGCATAACAATTTAGAATATTTTCAGTATAGGAGGGACTGAGATTTAAGGTGTTTCGATACAGTTTCTCAGAGGCCATACCGATATTTTTCAATCGCCTTAAAAGTAGTTTTTACCTTGTCCGATCGCTATAAAATTTTCACCAGTAATTGGCTATGGATTGAAATTTGTGAAAATGTAGTTTTAAGTAAAATCGATATTACTATGACAACAGTAAACAAAAAACTTTGAAATTGATAAAAGCCGAATTTTGTGTGATCTAGACCTGCTGCTGAAAGTCCAACACTAGGAACTTAAAGTTTGGTGTTTAGCAAACAATCTCCGTAAGAAGTAAAAAATTCTGTATGTTTGAATTCGAATAAAACGAAAATATATTTCAAACCTTAAATTTTCAATAGCCGTGATAGGTTATGTAATAAAAACGTTATAAATGACTCAAATTATTCTTACGTAGCGTACGAATGATGCTTAATATCATGTTTTGATACTAGGAAATTTTGGTGTACTTTCGTTCATGCGATCTTGAAAACTAACCCATTTTCTCACCATCTGTATAAGTGCAACTTCATTCAGAATTTGGACTTTTAGCGCTTTCTTGTATATCTCCGAAACGACTCGAACGAATTTTTTTCAAATCTATTCACATAATCTTCATAATGTATATAAAGATGTCCGAAAGTCTCATTAAGATTGATTCACTGCAACACCTTGAAATTTCAAGACAAACCTGTCCTACCAACCGGTCAAAAATCTGCGTTACAACATTCACTGTTTTGACGTTATGCTAATTTTTTTATAATGCGCACTATACATACCTCCATGACTAGTACATCTTAGTTTGAATTTATCGCATCTTTTGAATGTAAAATATTGGCAATACTCACACTGAAATGTACTAGTCATGGATATATGTATTGTCCGCATTAATTTGGAAAAATTACCATAACGTCAAAACAGTGAATGTTGGAGCGCAGATTTTTGACCGGTTCGTCGGACAAGGAAAGCGATCGGACAAGGAAAAAAACTACTTTTAAGGCGATTGAAAAATATCGGTATGGCCTTTGAAAAACTGTATCGAAACACCTTAAGATGTTTTGATCGCACATAGACATTATATATAAAAATAGTTCTATATAAATAGAACATTATCAACTGAAAATTTTTCCTTTTTTTTAAATCCGGTAAGGTTGCCTTGAATTCCTTTCTCTTGAGGAATTTTACATCAGTTTCCTTCTGTAAGATATCCTTAAACATTTTAGTTTTCAAGCGATTACCGCTAGGTTCGTAATTGTTCGCGTTTAGTTGTGACTCGTGACTATTTTTATCGCTTGCATCTCCCCCACAGACCAGTCAATGATCTGTCAACAGCTGTAAAATTAACCAATCGGTTACTCAGTTTCTGGGCTGATGGAGGGTTTGTTTACGACAAAAGAGTCCGCAGTCCGTCTTTTCTCGTCTGGTCCTAATCCCTTATTGTAACGTAACGTCGTCGTTTGCAATCGAGCTGGCTGAGATAAGAACTAGACGGATTTTAAGAGAAAAGGCGGACTGCAAGCACGTTTAGTTTGAGTCATTCGCCTCGTTTATTATTAGTGCATAAATCGCCCCATGTAACAAGAAAGTCTTGGATTCTGGATCCAACGTCGTGGAACCGTATTCTTATTACTGAAATCCAGATCTTTTTCAGTGGAACTTGGATTCTGGATTCCAATTGTGAGTGGCATTCCGGATTCCTACACCTGTATTCCGAATTTCAAGACCCAGAATTCAGGATTCCACCAGCAAAAATTTTCAAGATTCCAGATTCCACAAGCAAAAATTTCACGGATTCCGAAATCTGGACTTCCTTACATGAGGCGAGCATAGAAACTTTTTCTTCCCTGTCTTCTTGTCATGGCCTCGGCCCAGTTTTCTCGCGGACTATATAGGTTGAGGTTCTTCGTTTTTGTTGTCACAATAACGTCTTCTCTGCCCTCAACGTTACTGGGCCATGCAGATTTCGTCTGGACAGTTTGTTGAAGATGCATATTTGAATAAATACTGCTATGAGCACCGGCTCAAAGCCATTTTCCTCCAAATCTTACTAGTTGTGTTCAGTTTTTGCCCAGTAAAGAGAGCTCAGACAAGCCAACAAAATGTGCAGCTCTAATTCATAAAGTCTATTATTTGGACGGGAAAAACCATCAACTGTTGAAAATATTTTGTCTAGAAGACACAACGACATATCTTCCCATCGCCATGGATCACTTAATACACCGTTTGAAAGAAAAGAAAACCCCTTTTCAAAGGATTGGAAGTTCAACATATGGTGAGGCGGGACTGAATAGATTTGACTGAAATATTCATTTGAAGGAAGGTTTGATTGAAGAAGATTGCAATAAGGGTTTTCTAAAAACTGTTCTTTACAAATATTAATAGTTTATCAAAATTTGTCTTGGGAGACATACTTGTTAACTACAAAGTTAATTTCCTCGCTGACGTTAATTTCAAGTAAGGGCAAGTGCACTGGGAAGACCTAACAAAATATTCTGGCCGACTGCCCGTGCCGTTGCATAGCTCCTTTATTGATACGATCTTCAGTTACGAGAACCTTCATGTGGTTCGGGTCGTTGTTCCGTTTCTAAAACCACAAAATCGGAAACTCGCCGGTGACAGACAAAGAAGCATCCTAGGAGTTATAATTCAAAATTACCAAGGACGTAGAAAGATAAAACTTTGTTCAACTCCTAGATTACACTTTTCACAAATTTCACTTGAATTGCAGTCATCCTATTCATCCAGTGATTTTGTTACAAATAGTTATGGGACTCGTCTTGTGAAAAATCATGAGTCCCAGTCCCGAACCAACGAGTCCCAGTTAAAAAAAAAAAAAACGAGTCCGTAATGGAAAATGCTTGGGCGTTTATGTGACCAAACAGTTAATCTGAAGACAGACTTCAAAATTTTGTATTACAGTGTACTGAAATGAAACTAGTCCTTCTATTTTAAAGTACAACAAAGGCTAAAAGAAATATACATCAGTAAACAACAGCCATAATAACTGCCACAAAAATACACGAAGGGGATATTTCTCACGTTCAGATCGATCGATCGATCGAACTTTGCGTCATACGGGACGCATGCCATGAATTATTTTGCTTCTACAGAGATTTTTATGCGTCAGGAACGCAGGAGGCAGAGGGAACAAAATCACTTTTCATCCCCTTCAGTTATGTCGTTCCTTTGCTTTTTTCTATCTTATTTAATTGTTCTTCATTGTTTTCAACGGTAATTTTAATATTCTACTCAACTTGGTGGCTTAAGCTATGTTCACACTATACCGGATAGCTAACCTGCCCACCTACCCCTCCCCTAACCCAACATTTTGCCCCAAGTGAGACGCAAATGTTTACGTTGAGATAGGGGAGGGGTAGGTGTGCAGTTTCCCGGAAACCTAAATTGATCCCCTAACTTTTGGGTCGGCACAAAAACCATACCGGGGAGTTAGGGGAGGGGTAGGTAGGCATGGGACAAAAACCATACCGTGTTGGGATTCTGTTCACACATAACAACGGTGATTTCGGCGCAATTTCTGCAACGGAGCGAAGCTGCTGCGCCGCGCCGATCTCTAAAGTGGAGAGTCACATATCGGAGAGGCCATATTAGTATTTACCAAATCAATGAGTAGAAATTTTTGCGCGTTTTGACTGGCTCCCGTAACTAGGAATATCCTTGGCTATTCACTGTTTTGCGACCCGAGCCAAGATGGCGTCTCGTTTCGAGACATTTTCGGAAGACGAAATTTGAGCAATAAATGAAGCAGTCATTCAAACAAATACCAAGAAAGCGACCAACTTTGGCTTGTCGGTGTTTACTGGTAGGTAGAAAAATTTTTTCATGCTGAATTTGCAACAAAATCGTAAGAATGCACTTGACAAAATCCCGAAATGTTTGTAAATTGTAAACAAAGTTCCTACTTAGCGACGTTTTTGATTTACAAAAAGTCACTTTTTCCATTTTGATTCAACTGATTTGGTAAATACTTAAACAACTATCCCCCTAAGGGTCGGTGAACAGCGCTAGGTATATACCTCGACGCTTCGCGTCGCGGTATATAACCACCCACCACTATTCACCGCCCGTTCGGGAGATAGTTGTATACTTAGACTACGAATTCCTCAGGGATAGTAGAGCAAGCAAAACGCGAGCGTGCATGGAAAATCGCCCCACGCGAGAAAGGCGATACGCGGTAGGGAGAGAGAAAAAATGAGGTTACTCGCCTTTTCTCGCGTGGGGTGATTTTCACGCGCGCTCGCGTTTCGTTTGCTCTACTATTCCTGAGGAAAAATGGGGGTCTACTTGTAGTCTATTGTATACTATGCTGGATAGCTTTTCGTGTCGGCACGAAAAGCTATCCGTTATAGTGTGAACATGGTCTAAATTTCTTTAATAACGTGACACCACTCCGTCAATTTAAGACACGCTCAGTGATTAGCTGAGGGTAAGTAATGCTTCGTAATTGAAATTGGCACTCTTGGAATGGGATCAATTTTAACAAGCGCTCTGTTTTCTCCAGCAGCCGTTCAAAGAAGGTGGGCTTCTAGGAGTAAGAGGACGTCCCAGCGAAGATCATAAGGGGAAAGTATTAACACTGCGACAACGAATAATGACAGATTTTCACATTCTTCTCTTACCAATCCTTCTTCTCAAGACCTTTATGACTTATACGACTGGTAGAAATTTTACTGTGGGACTATTAATTCCATACACTACTCCAGACACATCGTCGGCGGATTTATTCGGTATAAGGTATGCACCGGCCTCCCTTCTGGCACTGGAGAATATCAACAACAGCACGCATCTTCTCCCAGGTCATCACTTATCCTTAGTTTGGAACGATACCAAGTGTGACCGGAATTTGGCACTAAAAGCGCTCATCTACCAGATTTACGAGAAACGAGTGGACGCCGTCATAGGTCCCGCATGCTACTGTGATGTGGGGGCGCGTCTAGCTAATGTGGAGAATGTACCTATGATATCATACGTGAGTAGTGTAATTCAGGTATTTTACTGTACTGGTTTCCCCGCGAAATGAGTTCTGATGAAGGACTACAGAAATTCCATACTGAACAACCTAGATCTGGGTAGTGCTTCTGATTGGCTGAAGTAAATTTTCCTCGCGACACGATCAATCAGTAGCACTACTCAGTTCTGGGTAGTGACTTGTCATCAGTATGGAATTTCAGTGCTTGTTTTTCAGACGGCATTTCACGGCTAAACCAATGATGGCTTCACAAAATGTCGGCTGTTTTCTCAGGCTAGTTTGATTGCCGATTGTTAATAACCCGTTAGGTCCCAAGAGTGACCAACATCAATTTTCTCCTAACAACATTAGCAGATCATCAAGAGTAAAGGTTATGAGAATTACTAAATTGGTTACCAAAGGAAGAACGCTTTGATATTAACCCAAATTCTCTCAACTATTCTTAAAAAGAAATGTATGGAGATCAGTCTGGAGAATTTGTATGTGGATCTTGGGGCGGCGGTTATAAACGCCCATATGTATCGACTATGGAAAATGACATAACGAGATCACAATTTGTTTTTTCTCTGTTTTTTCGCGCACAATTTTCCAAAGAACATTATATTCTCGATGTTATTATTGTAAAAAACAAATTCCCCACCGGATTTCCCTTTTTCTACACCCTATTAGATGGTAGAAATTTTGTCAAAAGTTCAAAACTTTGCAGTGAAACCTCTTACCTGCGACTCCTTGTTTGACGTGACTTTTGAACATATTCATGCCATTTCTATTGCTTTCTCTTGTCCCCTTTTCTTTGTGAATTTACTAACTTTTCCAATTGTCAGCAATTCAACAACAAGTTCCTTGTATTTGTTCTTCTGCACCGGGTGCCTGCTGTGCTATAAATGTATGAACTACACGGTTGGATCCAGATAACTTAGAGCAAAGGGTCGCGGGAGACATGCTATAATCAGGGACAAAAGTAGTTGACACACTTGTTTAAAACGGGTGCTTTTAACAAACATTTAATTCATTTCTTATTTCATTCTGTTTAAACGCCGTAAATCCCCTCACCCCCCAAATCAATGTTGTCTGAAGTAAAAAAAAGACTTGAGGGTCCAAAATTCAACATTGATTTTGGGGGTAAGGGGTTGGGGTAGACAGGGGAAGAGGATAAGTATATCCACTATGAAAAAAGGGGACATTTTATGGAAGTGTGTCAACACTTTTGTCCCTCATTGTAGCTCCATATAAACTAATTATTAATTTATTGTTTAAAGGTTTTAAAGATTTTCACGCAATTTCAGGCAAGGTGCATGGGGTGTTCCCCACACGCCTCTAAATCCGCCAAAGCATGGGCTTTCTTTATACTTAACAATTATTCCACGAGTGCTCGTTGGACATGAGTTGGCTGTAATCACCTCATACCCAACACGCGTGAGTGGAAAAATTGTTTTATTAATAACGCCCACAAAATATCGAAAATTTTTCCCGACTTTATTTGTAAAAACAACCGATTTTCAACTTGTTTTTAATTTTGAGTGAGCCCTCGCGTACAGTTACCATATTTGGAGAGCATGGTATAATGACTCATATACCATGATGGCTACACCTATCAGAGCTCTAGCATTGCATTATCCAATGATTAAGTTTTTAATAACTGTATTTATACAAGAGCCATTATGGCTCTTGATTTATAACATAGCTAGAATATTTGCCTAATTAAATTCAATAGCGTTAGTAATGAGTTCTTTCTTTCAAGTGCATCCTAACTCAATGTTGCATGTTAAAGCTTTATTTATTATGTGTTTTAAAACGCCACGTAGTTGGAAATTTTTTAACCTTTTGTTAACAGATAGCAGGGTAATGAAGTGAGTGTGCGCTACGGCGTGTGCAAATCGTTCTTTGCAAAATCTTTTCGTTCATAAAAATTTGTTCGGTGTATTAGTAGTTTTTCATCCCAATTTATAAAATTACTAAGAATTAGTACGCGCGCTCTGATTGGCCGAGAGGAGTGTTTGCATGAGAGTATGTAAACATGATTGTGGCGTCAAGATGTTTTGCTTTTCGCTTGCTAATCACGCAAGCACGAATTTGAAAACGTTTTCGAGTTAAAAACTCGACAAGTTTACTTTATTTAGCCATTCCTTCGTCGGCTGAAACTTGGAAAATCGTTACAAAGAAGGTGTATGAATTTTTTTTTCGCTTAATCTGACATTTTAAGCGAGAAAAGTCCTTATTTTGGAAAGCATCTTTTTGCAAAACAAGAACTGATAACGCGTGCAAGACTTCGTGGACAAGACTTTGCGAGTGGTAAGAATTTCTCTTTTAATCAGTGCCATACAAGGAGTTTGCGTCTTTTTTCGGGAAAGCTATTTTATAAAAGCAATAGAAAACTTTTTTCCGGTGTTTGCATAGCCTTATATAAACATTCGAGGCGTTGGGAGAATTCTCGACAGTTATGCAAACCCTCGACTTCGTCTCGGGTTTACATAACTGTCTCGAATTCTCCCAACCCCTCTCGTGTTTATATCAGGCTATGCAAACAAGGAAAACATTTTCTATTGCTTAAATGGATTCTAAAACCCTTTGGAATGTTATCTTAAACTTCTTCTAAATTTTGAATTATCTCAGTATTAAGACAAAAACATTCGCAAACTATGAGGTAAAAACAAAATATAGTCACGTTTTAATAATATTTTTAATAATATATTTTTTTTCCGAGTCCTCCTCATATTAATATCATGTTGTTGTTGTTTCATCTTTGATGTATAATAATATTTGATAATGTTTATTGATTTGTGTTGCGCAAATATCAATCCAGGGATCGGAAAGAAATTTTCATTTGCGCATTACATTGACCTCAACCAAATCCTACTGAAAAATCCTAGTATATCTTCCAATTCCAAAAATTCTAAAAACAATGACTAATTAATCCTTAAAGTCCTATTTACAAATCGCACCTAAAAAATAATAATTCTAATTCAGGTTTTAATTTATAGACATTGACGCCTACTGCTTTCAGCATACGCATGCACAATAATCATATTTTAAGTTATTAAACTGCCACATTGACTGGGGATGCCATTTTAATGTATAAAACAACTGGTTCATGCTTTATCTGTGCGTATGTAGAGATATGAGGCACTTGGGAAGTTTTGAGAGCACTCAAAAGGCTAGAGTTGCTAACGTTTGGTTTGTGCAAAATTTTCTTTAACTCTCTCTTTATTTTTCACTAGTTGTGTAATGCGCCAATGTATGACAGCTCTCTGTATTCAACATTTGCGAGGACCAAGGTACAACTGGAAATTCCTAAACTATCTCAAGGTTTGGTCAAACTCCTTAAAGAGTTTAACTGGAGGAAGGTGGCCGTGCTATACGAAGACACAGCTCGAGTTATTGAATATGAAAAAGCCGTGGTCAAAGAGTTTAGAAAAGAAGAAATTGAAGTCCTCTTTGAACAGGACCTTCTTACTTACAGGTACGTGCTATTACTACTGGGAATTAAGTACTTTTAGTCTCCATTTAGTGCTATTAATACTTTATAGACCTATATCACTGCTGCTGGCGACTTTTTGCAAAGCAATGAAACAAGTTGCACAGGAGCACTTCACGTGTTACTTTACTTCTAAGAAGAGAAAACTCTCGGTCCATCAAAGCAGAAACAACAAACTCCACTCAATAGATTCTCTTAGAGTGCTCCTTTCTTACCGGTAGCTCTAGGCGGCTAATGGCAAGAAAATGATTTGCAGTTGTGAAAATGCTGGATTCAAGCAAACACTTTGATAGCATGACAGCATTTTGACGGCGTGTTGCAGGAGAAGCTCAAGCGGACCCTTCTTTTTTTCTTATCTGGAAAAGGCATCAATGTGTGTGCATTATTAGGAACAGACTATAAAGCTTACTGAGGATGATGCTTATAGTACCGCAAGGCTCTATTCTTGGCCCGTTGTTCTTTAACGTGTATATGAAGTGATCATAACTGGTATTAATATATAGATTTAGCCAGGGCTAAAAGCGAAGCTCCCATTAATAAATTTATAATTTAATCAAACAATAAACTTGTAATCCACAAATCAGTTAACTTAAGGGCACATATGTGGCTTTTTAGGGAAAGCTAAGGCTAAGTGATTTTAGAATGGAAAAAATCTTACATCGAATTGATAGCCGTATATATACACCCAAAAAATAGCAATCATCTTGGATCACATTTAAGAGCCATAATGGCTCTTGATCACAGTAGATTAGGCCTGGAAAGCGAATTCATGGAAAAAAAAAATTGCGTTCGACAAGTTTACTTAACAAAATCTTGAAAACAACTCTGCGCGCGTGTAAACCAACATTTCATACTTTTTATACATCACATCTGAGGTGGAACAGTAATATGAGGCGCTGTTTTTATCATACAGACCTCAGACAAAATGCAGTATTTCACAATTTTTCAGACAAATTGAACTGATTCAATGTTCAGAACCGTACGAAGCACGCGTGGGCTTTTAGGGATCTTTTTGCAAAACCGTTCAAAAAATTTCCAAAATCACCTATACGGCCAGCCGGTTCTCACTTTTGACAAGCGCCCAATTTTCAGTGAACATTAAAAGAGTTACGCTTCAACATAATAAAGAATTTATTGTGTTTATTTTTTTATTATTATTTAATGGTTTTATAACGATGTGTAATCTTAAAAAGCGTTTGATACGCGCGGCATTTTGAGTACTCCTGCAAGCGATGTTTATGAACGACTGAAAACAAACGGCAAAGCGATCAAAACTGCAAGAGAGACTACTAACAATCAATAAAAGAAATATAATTCGGTGAAACATTTACAGAGGCAACAATTTTTATTCACGAAGACAAGTATTAAAGCATCTCTAAAAATCCTGAGTCTTTAAGCTTAAGCCTAAAGCTTTTAGCCGGCTTCCTGGTGTTTACTGTTTTCAAAGATGAACTCGAGGCAAGAAAATCGCTCAAAGCTTTCTTTCTACAGCCAAAATTATTACTAAATACTCTTCGGAACGTTTTTCCTTTCTATTCGCGGAGAGAAAATATCGACTAAAGGCTTTTTAAGGCTCTGTCAGCTTATATCAAACCTCATACTAGATCAGATCAATCATTGTCTCAGATCTTAATACCAACCACGTATTTGATCGGAGTATTTGACGCGAGCTGAAGTACTTTAATCTATATTTTTTTGTTTGTGTATGTGACATATGTTATTAATGAGTCCGAATGGTAAGCTCTACGTCGAGGACTTTCGATAGTTCATTGGCCAGAATTGCTTGAGGGAAATTTTAAACCTGCATCCAGCAAGGTGCAAAACGAAAACGATGTCATCCGAAATCGGATTTCCGACTTTGACAAGCGGCGCATTTCTCAACCAAAAATTCCATAAACAAACCAGCCATAATTAACAGAAGACTGTTGATAGCAGCTGTATTTCATTTTATGCATCCAGTGGAAAAAGACAACAAAAAACATAACAAGTTGACAAAAAACTGTCAGCTTCAGCTGTCAAAGTAAACAAGTTTCAAGATGCTGTAAAAATTTTCTGCATGAACTCACCTGTCAAATTTTGACCAATCAGAGCATAAAAATTGGACGGTCGTTAAGCCTGATCAACGCGTGACTATGGTGAGAAAAGTGAAAAGCCTCTGTCTTCCCTGCTTGTATTTTTAAATGACTGGCTGAATTTTCGCGTCCGAGATCAGTTTGAAATCAAAATGTTAATAGCGCAGGGCCAAAGTGACACTAACACAACACTTTCTGTCATCATGTCATTATTTTGTATTCATTTTTTTTTTGTATTTCTCTTTCGCGTCGCCTTTGTCTATTTATACTAGCCCTGTCTCGTTCTGCTTGCCGGCGTTTTTCACTATAATTTTCTCTCCTTCTTCTCGCCTTAACTCTTTCTACTTGCCGACTTTCTTCGCTAAAATTTTGTCTTCTTCTTCTACTTCTAACGCGCTTTCTGTGGCGATCGTCTTCGCTTGCTCTACGAGTGTTGACTCTTGCTCTCTGCCGTTCACCTTCTCTTTGCTCTCTGCTTAAAACCTGTCGTCGATCCGCTAAAATCTCTCTGCTGTTGTTTGTTGACATAATAGCTTTCGTAAGCTGTAATAAAAAGTTATCAAGGCCCTGTCCAAAACTCTTTTCGCTATAAAGTTACTTTGAAATTTCTTTTTTCAAAACCAGTTGCGCCATATAATTGCGCGACGTTGCGCCATGCGATTTCCCGCCAAAAAATCTCTACTTTCCCCTACCCCAAGAGTCCATGCGGACTACTTTCCACTACCCGGAAAGTCCGTACGGACGGACATACGCTGACGTCATAACCAAAATTTCTCGGATGGATAGGTTACCAAATTAACTTAGTTATAGTGCTTCGCTCGCGCGCGCTTCGTGCGCGCAAGGAGCTCCGCTATTATCATTCAAAATATTTCGTCTTTTTTGATTGGCTCAAAACCCCCGGCTTATTCTTCACAACCGTCTGGTGCTTACCATATTCGGAAGATGCAAGCTTTATACGATTGACTCGATGGTATATATAATACATCGATTGACACTCTCCGCGGAGGTCTACATAATTCTCATTATACGGCTGAGTCTGTTTTCGCCATGCGATTGGTCAATTTGCGGTCCGTAACTTGCTGTACGGACCAAAATTTCAAAGAAAATGCTCATTTCGGAGCTCTAAATCTCTTTACCTCGGAAAAAAGGTTTAAATAAAGTTATATTATAAGACGTCTGGCAACCTTGAGGACTTGGATGTTGACTTTGTCCTTCAACATTTTAAACTGTGTTTATTTGTGAACGAAGGCGATGAAGAAACTAACTTATAGTCTTATCGAAGAGGATTCTAGTCAGTGTTTGAAAATTTTATCGTACTACACAGTTAAGAAGACGAAAATCGACTGGCGGGGATTCAAGATGTTTGTCTAAGAGAAAATGAGTAATTCCTTTGACAAATATTGAAATTTGTAATGTAATTTGTTTATGTAATTTGTTTACCCACGGATCACTACTCGTTGAAACGTGTCCGTGCGTTCCAGATCGAATTGGAATTTGAAAGTTTTGGTTTTTAAGGAGAGGGAAAAACCGGAGCACCCGGAGAAAAAACCTCTGACAAATATGATAAACATACCTGCACCCAATCATTTTGACGAGCTTCTTTGCCATTTGTAGTGCTTTTTCAAAGACCAACGAAAGAAAGATAGAAGCGACTTTAACGAGCCTGACATAATGTCCAGTTTTCAAAAGACTCCAGCATCACATTGGCGAGTGAATACTTACAGTGCTCTTAGTTTTGATCGAATAAACTTTAAAATATGCCTGTAAACCCTGAGGACTGGGATGTTGACTTTGCCTGTCCAAATTTTAACCTAACTTTGTTTTTAATGAGAACGAAGCTGATGTATAAACTGAATCTTGACCTTACAGGGGAAGAGAATTCTAGTCAGTGTTTAAATTTTAACGTAGATCACAGACGAGAATGAACTGGCAGAAATTCGAGAGGTTTCCCCAAAAGAAATCAACCAGCGAATGCTTCGACAATGACAAAAAACTTACCTTGAAAAGCTTCTTTGCCTTTTGCAATGTTTTTTTTTTACAAGGACCAACGGAGGAAAGATAGAAACGACTTCGAGACAGACACAGTGTCCGGTTTCCAAAATACTCGAGCGTTACATTAAGAGCTAAAACTTACAGTGCTCTTACTTTCGACGTTTTCAATATGGCGAATATTTGTTTTAACTTTCTCGGAAACCCTTTGTTATATGTTATTGTTTTCGTGAGCCAATAAAAACTTTTTGTTGACGCCTGTCAAATGACTGTCAAATCGCGCGCCCTGCACCTTATTTCCGGTCCCCCAAACTGGAAGAAGCCATATAATAAACATCTTATTAGCCTCGTTGTTTCGGTCCGTATCGTAAATTACGGATCCGCTGCCAATTTTTCAATCTCCATTACTGTACAAATGATGTCAATTTTATATTATATCGACAAGTATCTTCCAAATTTGGTCACCGGTAGCTGGTTTTAAAGAATTAGTAGTATTAAGGGTTATTTGAAGTAATTATTAAGGGTTAGTTGAATTATAGCTGTTGTAGTTGTTGTTGTTGTTTACACTCAGTGTTTATTAAATATAATTTGTCTTTGTCTTTTTGCATAGGTGCTACGTAACTTTGGCGACAAACTATAACTGTTCAAACAAAATGACACCGGATAAACGTGCTCCATTTATGAAAAAGGTCATTAAAAAGATCAAGGAAGAATCCAGAAGTACGTAGGCACTTTAGTTGTACCTTTTATTTGTATATTATTATTAAGTGTAATTTGGCAAAATAACTTAAAACTTAAGGTTTCAAACAGTACCGTGCAAATAGCCATTGTGATTCAACGCAATAGTGACCGTTTACAATTTAAAATTGGAAGGACGTCACTTAAAAAAAACCCGGCTGTACAGGCCTTGAACTAATCTTGGCCCCAAAATGAGTCACCCGAAGTATTATTGTCTTGATCGGAAATGACACTTATGTCCAGGATTGAACTTTGCTACCAAATTTATAAAATTAACGATCTTTCGCGATGGCCTTGCGAAAACTGGAAAATTTGCAAAATTAACGATTTTTTCGCGATGACCTTGCCGTTCTCCCTTTGTTATGGAAATAAAAACACAACGTCTAAGCGATGCTGCAGGTGTGCACTCTTCTACAAGCGAAGTACGCCGCGTAAATTTCGATTGCAAAAGAGACATATGATTTGCTTCGTTCTTCGTTATGCCAAGGAACCCTTGCAATATTGAATAACCCAAAACGATTCTTAGAGTTTGGACATGTGTCTATTCGCCTTTCTCTTTTGACTACATCTTTTGACAAGCAGATGAAGTTTTACCTCATCTTGTAAGCTATGGTTGTTTGCATTCATGTTATTCTTAAGACAAAATCTCGCAAGAGAAAGTATAGGATTTCATTATGCATGAGCAGTGAAGGTAATAGATCCTGAAGCCCTAATTGTTAGCTATTTTCAGTTGTTTCAAGTAATAACAACATTTTACAGTCGAATTCCTTAGTTACGTTTGGCCAAGAGAAAATACTGAAGCCATATTTTCCAGTAAACCCAGAAGATAAACAAGAACAAGTAAACTTCCAAACAAGACCGCTTGCCCTTCAAACCCAGAAACTATCTTCAGTTAGCCCGCGTAGCTGGCTGGATTAGCAGGCGAGTGCTGCAGATTTTTTGGCGGCAGAGCCACGTTAAGATTGGGAGGAAGTCAAATTGAAATCACGCCTGCCCTAAGTTTTGAGTATTTCGAATAGTCAGACAACCAGGTAAACATGGCGGCTTCGCCACCAAAAAACTTCGGGCAAGGCACGCTGATAATTTGGGACCCATCACGCGTCACCGAAAACCCCGCCCGTGTGTGGAGGATTTGTCAATCCTTCTAGAAGCAGTGGAAATTTTTCTTTTTTCAATATTTCACCTAAAAATATGCCTATTTAGATAGCTATAGATATTTATATGAAGAACAAATGTTAAATTTCATTATTGTCCTAAATTTTTGTAGTTTTTCGTAATTTTTGCTTTGTTTTTCGTTCGTTGGGGCTTTTCTGGGCCTTATTTCCATTTCCTCGTCACTTTTTGTTAATGGTCTTGTAAAATTTTGCTATTTTCGCAATTTTCGTAGCACTCTTGCCAAATTCTGTGATTTTTGTAAATTTCTTATCAGAGTTCAGTCGTGGACATATCTCCGAAATGAGCCCCGTTTTGTTTTCCGCGCTGATCTCGAAATATTTACAAGTAATAATGGGAATGAGAGCTGGAGCCGGAAATCCTTGGGAGATGCAAAATAAATGAAATTCGATTCGAAGACCCGTAGGGCGGATCAAGGGGTGGGGGGGGGGGGATCGAGGATTGGGTGGCTAGCCACCCCCCTTTAGTACAGCCCACCTAAAAAGAGAATTCATGTGTTCACGGAAAAAAACGGAAATTCGTGGGTTCCAAAAAAAAATGTAGAAATACTTGCAATCGCCATGTATGAAAATGCAAATTTTCACCTCTGACTTTTACTTTTGGCAGTTAACAAGTAAAGTGTTTCATTGTAATAGACTGAAGTAGTCTTCATTTTTGTCTTATCTTTTAGTTGTGCTTATTCTCGGTGATTATCGTGTTGGGCCACAGGTTCTGTCGTTCGCATATGATCAGGGGCTGACAGATGGCGATTATGCTTTCATAATTGTACAACTTGATCAAGAGCAATTTGTTTTTAATCGGGGTAACAATAATCTATACCATGTGGTTCAGAGGGGAATAGAGGACAAGGAAATAGAACAATGCGAATACTTTCGAGCGTTTAAGTCTGTCATTGTAGTGGAGATTCAAACAATACAAGTAGGGAGAGATACGTTCAAAGAGTTTCAGAAGCAAGTTGTTGAAAAATTTGATGAAAATAGTACGTTTCCTGAATCTAAAGTAAGTTGGCTTTTTCTTGTTGTACACGTAGTTTTTTCCTGTATTCATTAACCCATTAATCTCTAAGAGTAACAAGTGGCGTACAGCGTCGTAACTTTGCAAATATTTGATAACCTTTTTGTTTTGATAACCTTTATCTTAAACTATAATTACACATTTAATTAGGAGGGTTAAGTGGGGTGGATACGAGATCTCTGCACTATTTATAATAGTAGGTCCTACAGTGAATAGCTTGATAGTATTAATTATTTTTATGACATGATATACGTTACGATTACGCCCACCTGAATTCTTCTGGCTGGAGTTGACCCTTGAATATTTCTTTGGAAGATTGTAAAGTTGATTGATTAATTGATTTTGATTGATAGATTTTGGGTCGTTGCTCGACTATCGTGAATCTAGCAACGCGCTAATTTATTTGCTTCTCCAATTTTTGTTTCTACTGACACAGCCAAATGTCACGCGGAAAAATATACGTCTAGTCGCTGCTTATTTATATGATGCAATCTTCCAGTATGCAGTGGCGTTAAATAACACATTACAAAGAAATGAAGAACCAAACGGTCGAAACATAATTGCAAACATGCTGAACTCAAGTTATACAAGTAAGTAAAAGAAAGAATTATCACCTGCCTTGTCTACTGTTTTGATGGAATTTGGTTTTATAAGTAGTCTACATAACAGTTGTTTGATCATATCTTGGAAGTAGAAGACGAAGTAAGGATCAAAATTTCTGGTTCTATTAAAATGGTAACAGCCGAAATTCCGCGGTGCCACCACTGATTTCTCCGCGAAATGACTTCAGAGGAGCGAGGGCAAAAATTGTATACTGATGAAGTAACACTACCCAGATCTGGGTAGTGACGTGTCATCACTGTAGAATTTCTGCGTTCATTCCTCCAACAACAACAACAACAACAGCAACAATGCATTTATTTAGAGAAATGTAAAGTTACAATACTTTATGTCCTGCAAATAGCTATAATGCTAATCTAGGCAGGACAAGACTTTAAATAAAGACGTTATTAAATTACATAAGAAGAAAGAAAAGAAAAGAAATACAGTAACATACAGAAAGAAACACCTTACATATTAATTCGTAAGTACAGGGGATTTTGTTATTTAAAAAACACTAAAATTACAACTGGAGGTATATACAACATATCAGGTTAACTTCATAAAATATTCTATTAAATATTTAACATTCAAATAATTATCTTTATCACCTAGAACATTAAGGAGTAGTGATTTAATTTTTTACGAAAATTAGATATGTTGAGTGTTCTTATAAAAGAATTTGTCATTTTTTCAGTTCTAGAGATAATTGCTTATTATAATGATGTTTTGTATTGATTTTCGCAAACTTATCGAGAAGACTTTTAGGAGCTGTCTTAGCATGAACGTCATACATTAAAAAGCTTAACTGTTGAAAGAAAAAAGACTGCAAAGGAAGGCAGTTTAATTCAATAAAAAAAGGGATTGCATGGTCTGTGGGTTTAGAAAAATAAATCAAACACAGTGCACTTTTTTGCAGAACAAGTATCTTATTGAGGTAGGTCTGTGGACAGTTGCCCCATGCACAGATACCATAATTTAAATAAGGAGCAATAAGTGTATGATATAAATTCAAAAGAAGATGCCGTGGAATGTAATGCCTCATTTTAGCAATTTTTCCAACCGATCTACTAATTTTGTGACAGATAAAGTCAATATGATGCTTCCATGATAGTTCAGAATGAATCATTATACCCAAATATTTAACAAAGTCCTTCATCTCTGTAATTACTCTAGTATTTAAAGTTGGATTAAAAATCTTAATTTGAGGAATGAAAGGTATTCTTTTTTGGGGCGGACGAAAAATGACATAATTAGACTTTTTGACGTTGAGCATTAGTTTGTTAGCATTAAGCCATTCACTTACTTTCTCAAGCTCATTGTTGACAGTTAGTTCAAGAGTACGTAATTTGTCATTTGCATAGGTTAGACTTGTATCATCGCCGAATTGATAAAAAATAAATTCCTTGGAAGATTTATTGATGTCATGAATATATAACAAAAATAGCAATGTTCCAAGTACAGAGCCTTGAGACACTCCACATACGATCGTTTCAGTCTCAGATTATGCATTTGTCTGTTTCAATCGACTGTCGGCGATCTGAAAGATATGAAGTAAACCAAGAATTTATAACTCCTCTTATTCCATAGTGTTCAAGTTTTGCAAAAGAATCTCATGGTTAACAGTATCAAATGCTTTCTTAAGATCTACAAAAATTCCACATGAGGTCTTTCTATTGTCCATATTAGAGACATTATTATTATATTATTATATTGTTCACAATATCAAGAATCGCGTGCTGGGTACTATGTTTATTGCGAAAGCCATTATGCAAATCGTAAAGTATATCATTCTTGTTTATAAACTTTGTCAGTCTACGATACAAAAGTTTCTCAAATAAACGATCATAAATTGATAACAAAGAAATTGGCCGATAGTTTTCAGGTAACGTCTCGTCTTCACCCTTATACACTGGAATTACTTTTGCATATTTAACGGTTTGGCAGGTTAAACTTCAATTAGTACAGACTGGTCAAAAATTTCGGTTAATGGTTTAGAAATGACTGATTTAGCAAGTTTTAACAGTTAAACAGGGGTAGAGGTCTCCCTGAGACGTCTTTTCGCGGGGAGACCAGTGTCCGGGAGACCAGCATCGCCAATGTCGACCATTTTCTCAAGCTAACAACAACAATAACACCACCACCAAACTTTATTAAACAGGGGATAATATAACTGAACCACTGTCCACAGCTAGCAAGGCTAGCTGTGGACAGTGCTGTGTGTGTGCAAAACTAAACTATAAAGATTAAGGCTAACTAAGGGAAGTTTACAGTTTACAAATAAATGAAATAAAAATCGTAATCCTAAAAACACGACAGAAAAGAAACAATCAAACAAATAACAAACTGTGAAAGTAGAAGCGAGTAAGGATGAATTTTTTCTTTACTTTTATGGCTGGTTTTACGTTGTATGTTTTACCTTTTATATTATTTTAACAAATGTCACTTCTGTTTTTTGACACAGGCAAGTCGGGAGCACAAGTGTTCATAAATCAGAATGGAACTACTGACGTTAAGAATCTTCGCATCCTTAAAATGGGCTGGAACCGTTCAGCTTCCAAAACTAATTGTAAGTGCTCCTTTTTGGATAATAGATTCTTTTGTTTTAGGAGCCACGTTTTTGTTAAGTTCATACTTTGCAACAACGTTTGGCTGGTGGGTAGAAGTAGTCAGGGATTTACAGCGTAAAGAGCTAGTCAAACGTTTGACGTTTGTTTTTGAACGTGATCGGGGCGAAAATGAAGCGAAAGAAAATCGGGTTTCAACGGAATTTGAACGTTGTGCGACTGTAGCTGGTCAAATACAAGCTACATGTATATTCAATCCAATGGACTGCTTTATAATAATTGTTAACTTCATGCAGCGAGTCCTCTGATGCCGGCAAGTAAATGGCGCTCAGTTGATTAAATTGATGCTTTGAAACAAAGCATTGTCTTAAATTGTTTCTAAGCGGGTCTCGGTTAGTTTGCTCTATTCATGTAATTTTTTGTTTGTTCTCCTCCCTTCGCTGATGAGGTTCTCCTCCCTACGCTGATGAAGTGGGAATCATAACGTTCGATACCTTTCAAGAAAATCCATCGGTGGTGCTCGACAAAGACAAGATAGAGTGGCCAAACGGTGAAACGCCTTTGGACTCGCCACCTTGTGATTTCTCTGGAGATAATTGCATGACTTCGTCTTCATCGAACACTCCAACTCCAAACCGAAATGCAAACATAGGTAACTTTGAAATATTATGACTGCGGTCACCTTATAGTTAACGTCTCCCCCCTGTTTTGTTGTTGTTTGTTTGTTTGTTTGGTTGGTTAAGTTGGACAGAAGGCTTTGCTCATTTGACTTATTCAGTTGTAGCCTGAGAAAACAGCCAACCTTTTTGTCGACGTCACTCACCACTGGTTTCCTCACGAAATGACTGGTTTCGCGCGCGGAGAAACCAGTTGTGGCGTCGCGTGATATCAGCTGATTTTTCACCAGTTCAGGACGCAGTGAAGACATACTTATTTAAATTAGTCTACGATGTTTGATTTTAGTAGCTTTATTTAATTTTATTTTATCTTATAATAGTTTGTAACTCTAGTTTCTTACCATATTATTGTACAGCGCTTTGAGCAATTAGTGGATACTGCGCTATATAAGTGTCGATTATTATTTCGCCTCCTTCTCCCCACCGCTATAAACCTCGACGCCTTCCCCCTCATATGACACCAAGATGGCCGCCCATACCGGTAAGCGCTCGATATTGACGATCTTGCGAAAAGATAGGGGACTTTGAACAGTCTAATAGCTTTTGAGTACCCTTAATTCAAATGGTGTTGTGAAGAATAATATTGGTATGCCTGTGACTTAAAAAATGCCCAGCACAGTTGTCAATTTTCTGTCCGCTCAGCACATACTGAACGATGCCGGTGTCAATAAGTCTTGTTAATGTTTACTGATGTTTTCGGACTGTTGACCGACCGACGTCCCTAAAGGACAAATGGGCATATTTTTATTTCAACGCTTTGGAAAAGCAGCAGTCTGGAAGTGATTTGTGTAGCCCCTCAAATACTTAGTTCATGAGTGTGTTATTCACCACGGCCTTTGTCTTCTGTAGATAACGTCCTCCTCGCTCTGTATGATTCGTCACATCATACGAAAGCTGATTTCAATAATTGTGAATTTTTCATCTTTGCCTTTTCTTCAGGGGTGATTATTGCCGGTGTTTGCGCATTTGCTGGCGTCGTTTTCATTATTTTTCTCATCATCCTTGCAAGGTAAGGGTAATCGAAGCTTTTAAAACATATTGTAACTCTACCTCACATTAGAAAAATTAAGAGTGACGTTTACGGCAAACGGCAAACGTCACATTCATGTTGAGAATTTCTCAAAATAGAAAATGACCGGCTAAAAACAGCCCAAAAAATTGTTACAGACAAAACTAACGTGGAACTACTAATTTTGGGGGTAGAGCAAAGCAGTAAAGCAAGAGTTGACGGAAAACTAGGTCACGTGGTGCAAATTCACGTTTGCCGTTAGCAGTAAACGCGACTCTAAATCTCCCTATTGATAAGGTCCTCGATGTCCTTTCAGATGTAGAAGTACGTGCCTTGAAAACGGGATAAGGGATCTTAACATTCGAGTAATGCGACGGCAGCGAAAAGTCCCTTCAAAAGTAAATTTGCGTTCTTTCAGTCTTCATCGCGATTATTCCAACTCACTCACTTTGCCAAAAGGCGAACTTTCCTGGAGTTGAATTCCTGAGAAGCATATTCAAGATCAGAAAGAGAGAGAAAGTTTTGTCGTAGCTTGTTTACGTCCTCGATAAAAATTGAAACTAGGCACTTTCACGTCGTAGTCAAGCAGTGTCGGCAAAGAATTGTACATTAAATTAAAGTGTGATGAATTGCAGAGTAGTCGTTTTGCCGGCGTGTTCACCCCATTGCTTTTTTTTGGACGCTGTCGTTGCCTTCGCAACAAATTGTTGAAAATCCCCTTGATGTTTTTCATCCTCTCATACCATTCAGCAAGGGACCCTCTAAAGATCTCACAACTCTAGGACATATACCCCGTAAAGCAACGCAAGACCAATAGGTGCCTTGATACCATTACAAACAAATGCACACGACGTATTTTTTAATAATTCATAGTTGGTCTAAGATTTTATATAATTATATGTTCGTGGGTGTAGGATTTGCCATAGTTAGTATGTAAGGATTTTGTGTAATTATATTTCATAACTTTTTTCTATATATTGTAAACCTTAGCAATTCAGTCAGTACTGCTAGTGAGGTGTTTCAATATAGCATTCTATTCTTTCTTTTCGCCGTCGTCCGATCTTGAGGTCCGTTATTAAAAATCCCATGCAATCCCAGTTGGATTATCAAAACTGTCCCTTTTAAAAACAAACCTGTATCCAAAAGACGTTCGTATATATAACTCCAATCAGGGACAAAAGTAGTTGACACACTTGTTTAAAACGGGTGCTTTTAACAAACATTTAATTCATTTATTATTTCATTCCTTTTAAACGCCGTAAATCCCACGACCCCCCGAATCAACGTTGTCTGAAGTAAAAAAAAGACTTGAGGGTCCAAAATTCAACATTGATTTTGGGGGGAAGGGGTTGGGGTAGACAGGGGAAGGGGATAAGTATATCCACTATGCAAAAAGGGGCCATTTTACGGAAGTGTGTCAACACTTTTGTCCCTCATTGTCTGAATGCAAAATTGTGCTACTGCACACAAGTTGAGCCGTGTATGACACTGATTTTAACTGAAATTAAAGGAATCAATGACATAATTATGTTATTGGTGGTGGGGGTGACATTGACTTATTCACGACCGAATTATAGGGCCAATTCGAATTACGTGATGACGTAATAAAAGGGCTGCGATATCCAGAATAAACGTCGATATGGTTTACATGCTAAAAACTGACACTCAAACTCGCACACATGTACAACTTTTGATGAATTTCAAGGGTATGCGTACTGAAAATATTTTTAATAAAGTGAATATTTCTCGTTCTTCACTTTATCCGACTGTTAAGGCGCAAACAATCACGGGTAGGGTAAGGATTGACACGTAGTGGAGATACTCACTGACCAGTCACGGAAATATGGGACGTTAGTGAGGAGCGGCCGTCACTGTGTTCAATATCGAAACTACGGAAAAGTGAAGGTAAATTCATGGCCAATTCAATAAAAAACTAAGGACTGCGTAGCAAACATTGCAAGTGTACACGAAAACAATGACTTTCAATCCCACCTCGTGACACCCTGTGTGACATGATAACGCAACGTAAATAGCGTGCCATGAGCGCGTATGTCTGTGTATTTGGACTGCATTTCTCAAGCGAAACCCTGTGTTGTTGTCTATTGTCGGGAGAGAAAATGAAAAGAGAGCTTTGAAACGTGAACTAGTATTTGACTCTCAAAGAAAACGACAGCCCAAACTGAGGAAAACACTGCTTCCTTCGTGTTACAACGGTTAACCAAGCTTCGGCAAACGAAAAGTAACATATTAAGTCTGTTATGACCTCTTAATGTCGATATGTATTCTCGTGGTTAACCGTTTAAACTCCTTATTTGCACCACATCGCTGGAATTTTTCTCGCCAAGAATACGTATTGCGAAGCACTTTCTACATAGCGGAATCTTCTTTTGCCTTTTGTGAGGAATTAGCGCATAAAAAAGGAAGATTTTCCAGAGCACGGCCGTCATCGATCACGTGTTATCCCACTTTCTTTGTCATCAAGTGAACTTCTGGGCCAAAGTAATTGCTGTTTTGGCGATGATACAAACTGGTGTGTCTATCTTGAAAACAATTTCTTTGGTATTCTGTGATTTACGAGCTGGGAAATGATTAGCAGAAATAGTTGTCCACCCAACACCAATAAAAAAATGCCACTGAATAAATGGCAGGCGGTCATCTAAAATCATTACAAAAGTACATTCCTAACCTGGTCTAACCTGTTCGACGCCTACACACGCTAAAGGTTTGGATCTGCTAGATTTGAAAAGGTCTCCAAAAAAAAATTGTCATCTATTTATAGGGCATAGCACAAACGACTGGCTCATCATTTATGAGGTTCATAACCTGTATATTGTTCACGTCCTTTCACTAATGGCGCAAGTCAATGTCAACAATAATGCAGTACTTCATTCGCTTAAGTTAACCATTTACCAGAACAATTTTCATTGTACCTTAGTGTTTCCACTTTTTCCACTATTGATAATACTTGTAAAAAAAATTACATCCGCAGCAGCGGCATTTGATCACAACACAAATGATTTCCTCGCGACCCCACAGGGTATCAGGAACGCGCGCGGGAGTACAAGATTAAGTAATGACATACGCTTCGTACATTTTACTCTACGTATACTACAAATCAGGACCAAACTTTTCAAATTGTTGTTTATAAACAAACAATTTGGTCCATAGAGTAACGTCATCGCACAAAAATTCAGCAGCGTCCAAAATCTAGCCGGAAAACACAGATACATATTTCAGACAATCAGGGACAAAAGTAGTTGACACACTTGTTTAAAACGGGGGCTTTTAACAAACATTTAATTCATTTATTATTTCATTCCTTTTAAACGCCGTAAATCCCACGACCCCCCGAATCAACGTTGTCTGAAGTAAAAAAAAGACTTGAGGGTCCAAAATTCAACATTGATTTTGGGAGGAAGGGGTTGGGGTAGACAGGTTAAGGGGATAAGTATATCCACTATGCAAAAAAGGGGCCATTTTACGGAAGTGTGTCAACACTTTTGTCCCTCATTGTCTGTAATTTTGCTTTCAGGCAGTATATGCTGAAGAAAGAGCTTGACAGATTATTGTGGAAAATTAATTACAGAGACATCTCTTGGGCCCGGCCTTTTCCTTTAGCCTCATCAGACGAATGTGAGGTTGGTTTTAAGACCTTTCCACAATTATTATTTTATTATTGAGTAATTAATTAAAAAATGTTTTGTTAATAATTTATGTGATATGTAGTGATAGTGGGTTGCAAATTGGGGATCTCGTTTTAAACCCTAGAAAGCAGTGAACACTAGATTTTTAAATAAGCTTGCGTTAATATCTAACGAAAATTTTAGAACGTACTCTTCGGTGTAGTTTACAACTAAGAAGCCTTGAAAGCCAACGTAACAAGATTATGTTAACAGGTTTGTTGAAAACAAAAAAAAGGTGAGAACTGACTTTCCTTATAGGTTAGCTACAGGTATGAGAGGGTCTTTGTCCATGTTGCGTTTACTCTAAAAATATGTTAAACGTGTCAAAGTGACCTGGGCACAAGAATCCCGCCAGCTACGCTATGTTGTCTTCCGTTGAGCAGGCATTTGTGGGGAGGGATGAAAAACGAGCTCCCCTAAAAACGCCTGCGTGGGAGGCTACTTATTGTTCCTTCATTCACAGGATGAACCTTCCGAGTCAAATGTCCGTAAAACCAGCACCCAGTTTACTTTTACCAACTTTGGATTTTACAAGGTATACATGGTTTTGTTGCTGAACATAATGTGTCTAAACTATTCATGATTGTGTTATTTCCTATGTCACATCGCATTAAGCTGGCGACTGAGGTAGCCTGCAAAGCCGGCGTATTTTGCGGTGTGAACGATGATACTGTTCTCCCGACATCTTGGACGCTGAAACTGACAGATAGTTGGAGTGAGTCAAAAAATAACTCCAATGGAGAGGTTCATGGGCGGCCGCGATCAATGTAACTCTGCGCTTTTGTCAAAAAACAAAACAAAGCAAAAACTAAAAACAAAACAAAAATTAAACACAAGAAAAAAAAACAACACAAAACAAAAACAAAAGACAAAAAAAAGCGAGAACAAAAGCAAACAAACAAACAAATACGCCTGCTCTGCCTCTGAGATCGAGAGTATCCAAGTTAATCTAATGAGAAAATGACGTCATCATACCTGTGAAGGAAATGGACATATAGACTGAAATTTTTGATTTTTTTTTATTTCTTCTGCCAACTGTATCGTTCATTCCGTTTTAGGTTAGATTCAATCTCTCCAGTAAGAACCTTAGTGTTTAAAAATTATCTAAGATCATTTAAAACTTTGAACTGAAAGATTTTCCTTTTTCTGTTAGATAAAAGTTTAGGTAAACTGATGACGAAGTCGTGAAAATAAATATAATCCGGCCGACATCTCAGTTCTGGTAGTTCGATATTTCTTCCCTCTGCCTATTAATGGAAGTTTTATATTGCTACTGGTTTGTATTAAAAACCTTGGTGCTAAATAGAGCCTGAACAAATAACTGCTAAAAATAAGCTTAAACAATGAACATCTTTATCGCGGTTGTATTTTTAGGGACACAAAGTTACTGTGAAGCAAGTGGGTACAAAGGCGATTGACCCAACAAAAAACATTCTTATGGAACTTAAACAGGTACTTGGTATAAGGGACTGAGTATAAGTTAACTCTTAAGAGTTTTAACTTTCGAATGAATAGGGACTTTAAGCAAATCGTTACGGCGACCTCTACTACATCGGTCGTGGATACGGAGTCCTGGGGAGAGTATGTCAATAAATACAATAGATTTGTTGTAGGACTTGTGCGCAGTGTTTGACCCCGGTTGAGGATAAGATTTTCAACTGAGAAAATAAGTGAAATAAGTAATTGCTGGAAAAACAGAAGCGTCAAATACTTTCTTGTTAAAATGAAAAACAATCTTTGATAGTTTTAAAACCAGTGATTGTAAAAAAAAAAGGAGAATGGTCGACTTCTATACTCACGTATCAGCGATTACGCCACAAGACGATTTGGCGCTCCGGCGAAAGGTCATTTCCAAGTATGCGCATTGCGTCATTTTTGGGCTTTCTTATTTCTGGCCGCTGTAGTAGACTTCTTAAGGACGCGACGGAAACCTCCCTAAAAAGTTTTCTCCCTCTTGAAAGCTTCAGTCACTGTCTGTGAGTTGCAGAGCCCTATCATGCAGTAAGACGAAGGCGTTTCAAGTGCCGGTACAAAAATTGTCACCCACACTTAAGTTTTATGTCTCGATAAGCAAGCTTATTTTAGAAGAGACACCAAGGTCTTATCTGTTCTGATATTGTAGACGCTAATAACGATGAAAGTGTGTTTCATTGTTTTCGTATAATAATTTGGCGCAAAAAGTTGTAAAAGACCAACTTCTTGTGGTATTGGTGTTAATAGCAATTTGTTGTTATTATTTTTCAGATGCGGGACCTTCGTCATGAGAATCTCGTTCAGTTTTTTGGAGCCACAGTTGATCCTCCAAACATCTGCTTTGTTTCTGTATTTTGTCCAAAAACTCTGAAGGTAAATAGCATTTTCAACTTCGTTATTTCCACTGTTGTTGCTGTACTATTGACTGATATAACGCCTGCTCGAGAAAACAAATACATGTATTTGGAGTACTTTTGCTTTTTTTTCTTTTTATTCTTAGTTATTTATTTATTTATTTATTTATTTATTCAATACTTATTTATTTTTTGTAGGACTTTTTGGCTTGTTCTGACGTAAGGCTTGATAAAACGTTCGTTACGTCTTTACTTTCAGACATTGCAAAGGTGAGAAAGTTAGTCGCGAAATGCATATGTTGACAGAGTCAACATATGGCATCTAAGCTGACTGTATTCATGTATAGGCCGTCTTGCTGCTACTGGTGCGAACGTCATTTCCTGTATAGCGTAAGATCTGAGGATGATACGGCAATGCAATTCTGCAACCGTATAAAAATGCTAATCAGTCTGTTATTGTTTCTGATCCCCATTAATGATCCAATACCCCTTTACCTTCGGATTGACTTTCAGTCAGTATTTAATTTTGGTCCTTTTTACACTATCTGCCCTGTGGAAAACTATTCGACGTACATTTGGCTTACAGTTTTGGAATCGCCATGTTTCGAATCACAATTTTTTTGTTTCGATCTCGGGCGCTTACACTGAAAAAAGTTAGAACTTTAGTGTTTGATCTCGTTGCACTGGTTATCGAACCTCGGTGGATTTTGTCGTGTTGGCTATTTGCCCAATGTTTTTAGTATGTTTCTAACTTTGCTTTATTTCAACAGGGAATGGTATATTTGCATTCCTCAGAAATCAAGTCGCATGGTCATCTTAAATCTACTAACTGCTTGATTGACAGTCGGTGGACTTTAAAAATTGCTGATTACGGACTATCAGCTTTCCAAGCCAAGTGTAATTTGCATGAAAAATCAAGCAGCGGAGGTAAGAAAAATGCAGGTATTATGATAACGGTTCATAAGTTGTATAGACCTTGTCACGGTTTTCGACGCCATCTTGACGAGTAGGCAAACGAGTTGGAAATTGCAGTGTTTGTATGAGCATCTAAAGTCGAATAATTTCCATAAAACGGCTGTTCTGAAGAAAATATCAGTTGTAAACTAAAGCTACAAAGCAAAGGTAACAGAATTTGTTAAAACCCCCGCATGGACACGAATTTAAAGAGGTCTCCGAACGAAATCTAAAAGGTATATAAAGTCTGTAATTTTCCCGGGACTTTCTTAAAGACAAATGTATAGAAAATTTAAAAAAGTGGTTCTAGTTCTTCTGTTGCATGTAACTCCCTTAATTTTTTTCATTAGAATCCTTAGGAATGAAGCTTTAGTTTACAAATCATATTTTTTTCAGAGGAGCCGTTTTACGTAAAATTATTCGGCATTAGGTTCTCATACAAACACTGTAATTTCTCACGCATTTGCCTACTCGTCAAGATGGCGTCGAAAACCGTGACAAGGTCTATTTCATCGGCCACGAGTTCATCATCGGATGAACCAAAAACAGTGACGGACATGCATTCTGCAAAGTATCAGTTTCTTTAGGCACGATGTAAATCCGGGCTACAAACTGACGTACTTTATTAGTTTTAATGAGCTTCCATCTTTTCGCCTGTCTTGTTCAACCGCAGTACAGGATTTTGCTGCACAGATCACAAATCTCCGTTGGACACAATGCAATTGCCGACTTTTTTATTTGCAAGTCTAAGAAGATAGAAAGACAAAATTATGTTAGATGTAAAATTTGTTGAAATGTGGAGCGATGTCTACTTGTGTTTGTGACTTTAACTATATCTTGAGTTCAATGCAAACAATCTACTAATAAGTGTTATTTTGTGAAGTTTGTGCTTTAAATTTTTAGACTTGCTCTGGACTGCCCCAGAACTTCTCCGAGATTCTAATCGACCGTCAAGGGGAACACAGAAGGGAGACGTGTATAGCTTTGCCATTATTCTTCAAGAGTTCCATACAAGAAAAGGACCCTACAGCAGTAACATAAATATAAGTCACGATGGTAAGAGTACTTTCTTTCATTGCATCCAGAACGGCCTAACAGGTTATAATGGTTTTGGAATACGCTGTACAAGCCGAGTGGGTTCTAATTGTTTAGTCGGTTCATGAAATTCTAAAGTATGGCCATTGTAGTGGAAGCTTCCTGAGCAGTACGTTCATGTCGTACTGTTTATTATCTTGCACAAGAGAGTTTTAATTTTAAGTCAGTGAGTGAAATTCTAAATTGTGGCCATTTAATGAAATATACTTGTGTGGTACAGCGATAGTATCGCCCATTGTTTCCTCAAAATACTTGCGGCTGCTTTACCATTAGTTGAACACCACCTTTTCTAAATTTGCTTCCTCCATCATTCCCTTTTCTCTGTTTTTCTCCATACCCGTCCATTCCTTGACGTTATGATCCCATCCCATCTAACTGCTGCCTGGTAGGCTCAGTTGGGAGAGCGCCGGCGTGCTGAGCGGGAGGTAGCGGGCTCAAACCCTGGCCGGTCCAACCCTCAGGGTCCTCAAATAACTGAGAGGAAAGTGCTGTCTTTGAAACGTAGGTCCTGTGTCATAGCAATTTCACTTAGCTGGTTCTTATGGGACGTAAAGGAACCCACATGCACCACTGTTCGCAAAGAGTAGGGAACGTAGACCCCGGTGGTGTGGCCAACCTTTCCTAGGCTGGGTGGATTATCTATAAGGAGAGATCTTAATAGGATAATCTTAATCTTAATCTTCATAGGGATAACCTCATGATCCTCCTTCAGCATTCGTAATGGCCACCTGTAAACAGTGTACTTGTATGATGTGTATCCCTTCTCTTCTACCTCTTCTTTTTGAATCTTTCACGTTGCGATGTACAGTGTTAGTGAAACGATGATGGTAAGAATAAACAATAAAACTCCAACCTTTTTCTCTGTTGCATTCAAGAAATTATCAAAAGAGTCGCAAGAGCGGAAGTGCCTCTTTTCCGTCCTACTGTCCACAGTTTCATTAATGAGCTGGACGAGCTAAGAGATCTGATGAAAAACTGTTGGGAAGAAGACCCGGACAGCCGGCCTGATTTTACCGAGATCAAAAGACGAATCCAAAGGACAATTTTAAATAAAGGAATGTGAGTTTTAATATGCAAGGTGTTAATACGTTTCACTCTCTAGGTTATACAATGTATTGCCGACGCAAGAGCAGTTTTCGGGGTACACTCTGGTTGAAATTTTATTTTTATGGGAACTTTTGACTTTTGCATGTAGAGACGGTGTTTAAGACACGGTTTCCTTGTTGATTGATTTATTGATTAGTGACTTATTCATGTTACAAGCTCAGCTGTAGGTATTAGACAACAGTGAAGCCTTGATATACCGAAGGGCCGAATAAGGTCGCTTTTAAAGGAGCTGTGTCACGAAATTTATCGAAACGTAAAAGGTGGCAACTGCCTCCAAGTTGAGTGAAGCATAAAAATGAGCCCTCAAAACATTAAAAGAAGCTACAAATAACACAGTAAATACAAAAGGAGGCACGGATGGACAAAACTTGAAGAAGATTGAAACGGATTGCAATTGTTGTTTTTGAAAACATGTTGTTAGCCTAACAGTTTTTCAAAATTCACTTTTAATGTTTGTAACGTTTGATATAATGTGTGGGAGACATATTTGTTTGACTCGAAGCTGTGGTCTTGTCATTTAGTGGTAGTTTCTAAGTTCCATAGCCAACAGGGACGCGTAGTTGCATATCTTAATTAACAAAATGATTAAGACAGCCGTGACACAGCCCCTTAAAATAACAAGATGTCGGTTAGCCTGCGAATTCTTGGTTTGCAACCCAACTGACAAGGCGAGCTAAGGCGGCCATGTTGGGGGTCAAAACAATACAGTATAATTTTTTCTCGAAGAATTTACAAAGGAAAAAGAGTTTTAATTAGTTCTCAGAGGAAAGAAATGCTTTTGTTCTTGACCAACATCATGACCGTCCGGACGTCACGTGCAAACCATCAATACAGCCCGATCTCTCCTCGCTCCTCACTGCTAAACGGAGGGACGGACGCTGGTTATGAATGCAAACATCGTTTTGTTGACAATATGACTCTATAGCTATTTTAGCCTCTTGTTTTCTTTTACTAGGAGGACCAATATTTTCGAGAGCATGATTCATATGATGATGAATTATGCGGATAATCTAGAAGACATCGTGGCTGAAAAGACGGGACAACTGATAGAGGCAAAAAGGGAAACTGAAGAGCTCCTTTACAAAATACTACCACGGTATTGTTTGCTTTTATCTTTTGTTTGTGTAATGGGTTAAAGTTTATAGTAATCATTAAATTCATGAAGTTCCGTCTTCTGACATTAAGATTAAAAGATCAATGTTATGTTGTTAATGCCATCGCTAGCAGTTTTTTTTTTGTTTGCTCGTTAAAGTCTAACAGTTAAACTTTTTGTTTTGTTCCTTAAAAAGGCCAGTTGCAGAACAACTAAAAAAGGGAAAGAGTGTCGAGGCAGAAAACTTCGATGAAGTGTCCATCTACTTTAGCGATATTGTGGGATTTACGGAACTCTCCTCGGAGAGTACACCTATGCAGGTATTTGGATATTTGACACTTGTACGTTGGTTTTTTTTATTTAATGAAACATCACCAATGTCTACCTTTATTATGTTGTCCTTCTTTGTTACTATGAGGCTTTCTATTTGTCCCTTGAAGAGGCCAGTCATTTTCTGTCCTTTCGTCATCATCATGATCATGTGCATCATCATCATCATCATCATCATCATCGTCGTCGTCATTGCGTCGTCGTCATCATCATCATAAACATCAGCATCAGCATCATCATCAACAACAACAACAACAACAACAACAACAGCAGCAACGACATTAGCAGCATCAGCAACAGCAACAACGTCAACATCAGCGACAACGATTGGAAGCCCAGGATCCTAGCTCTAACCCTTGTAGTCATTTCTCAACTGATCGTCTTGTTCATGTCTCATTGGGTATTCCTTTCTTGCCTTGTGGCGCCTATGATGTGGTGGTGATAATAATGGTTTCAAAGCTTTCTTAATCCCGACCAATGCTATGCATTGGTAACAGTTCCACTCCACTAACACGCTAATTTGCGCAAACGAGACAATTATCTGAATTTGCATTTGCCAGGTTGTGACTCTTCTTAATGACCTATACACTTTGTTCGATGACATCATAAGCGAGTATCGCGTATACAAGGTACGTCACATTGATTACGTAAAGACAAACTACTCAGCTAAAGCCTTTCACTTCATTTACCTGTTTCTACTTGGTGAGGTTGCATTTTCACGATGTAGGTCAGCTAGTATCTTGTTTCTTTCGTAACAGGAATTTCTAAATATTGCGGGTAGAGACACTAAAATAGTAATGATAGATATGGTTGGGAAGTATGTAACGTGGTAACGGAGCCAGCGTAGCCGAGCGGTTAGAGCGCTGGACTTGTAATCCCGAGGCTCCGAGTTCAAGTTCCGCCGTTGCCCCTAGGTGGATTTGTTCTCGGTAGTCCTGAGTTCAAATCCTCGGCCACGCTCGTAAATAACCAACTGGTTCGCCTCCTACCAGTTGGAATTTTTCACCATGTTATATTCCATGTGTTCCATTATTTGTTTCATTATCCCTGAAAGCCCCATAAGGAGAGAGGATAATTAAAGTATTCTTCTTATTATTATTATCATTATTAAATAAGCGATTGATTAGCAACGTGATAAAGCGACGCTGGAGCCTCCAGTTTCTATTATGTGTTGCTGCGTATAAGGGCTCAGTTTGTGAAATTCCGTCTGAGATTTGACGATTCAGAATACTGTGCCGTGCTATCTTGTGGTGCTTTAATGGTAAAGAAAACTGTAGAACAGTACATATTTTCAATTTCAATTAAGGAATAAAACAGCTTTATCCACCCTAATCTATCGTATTCGTATCGTATGTTATCCCGCCACTAATTTCTTTTTTTTGAAATTTTAGGTTGAAACAATTGGTGACGCGTACATGGTGGTCTCTGGTTTGCCTATTAGAATTGGACCTAACCATGCAGAGGAAATATCAATGATGGCATTACATTTGCTAGACGCTGCCAAAAAGGACTTTGTCGTTCGTCACAAACCAGATTACAAACTTAATCTTCGAACTGGTATCCACAGCGGTAGGTGAAGCGAACTGTTTAGATACACACATACAGTTGAATCTCTATTAAGCGGCCACCCTCTATTGAGCAGCAAGTAATTAAAGTTCCGAAATAATTGTAAAAAAAGAATGGAAAATTAAACCTCTATTTAGCGGCCACCTCTATTAAGTGACCGCTGCCACCTTTATGCTGTCCCAACCAGAGTTCTCCCATTGTTGTTACCTCTATTAAGCGATTGATATATATATATATATATCTAGCCGGATTTATGAAAACCGTACCATCGGACACCAGCAGCCCACACACCTTAAACTGACTCAACTAAAGTAAATATGGCCAAGACACTCTGCTCTTACCCATGGTTCTCTTAAGTTGACTCTCTTCTTGGTTCCTGATTAGCAAAAGAAATATTCCAGTCTATCAAAAAGACACTCTGGACTTGTCCATACACTCTAGCTGCTTAAAGGCCCTGAATGACGGAGGACGCTTGAGACTTAAGCAAGTTCTAAGCAGAGAAATTCAAGGTTAAATCACCCCCCCCTGACTTCCTCCACCCCCCCCCCCAGCCTAGCACGTGCTTGAGGGGAATGCTTTCATTGGCCAATGGGCCTCAAACGTTACAAGAATTTGACATGACAAACTAAAGGAAGACATGACCAGTGCACTGACTCTGAGACCAGGACTAACGGAAGGTACAACGCTTTTGCAGCACCCTACCCCCCTAGGGATTGACATGGAGGCCCCTTTCCAACCCATGGCGAGTTAGCTCAGGGACTGACCTTGTCAATGAGACCAACCAGGACAGCAAGTCCCCTATGTTTTTTCTCACCGCAGTGACCAGAAAGCTGGCTATCACCAGCTTTCTGTGCGAATATTCTGGTCCATTTTGAGGTATGTTTTCAAAAATTCGGCTAGATATATATATATATATATATATATCTATATCAAGTGATTGATATACTTAGTTTGGCTTCATTTCAAGAATATAGTGAAGGAAAACACAGTCCGTAATATAAAAAAGCCAGTTGATGACCGATTGTGGACTAGTAATGCTTCTCCCTTCGCATGTTTGTTACAAAATAAAGTGATGTTTCGGCTAAAGATTATGCTAATCTGTGACAAACCTCACTGAGCTGCCAACCTCTATTAAGAGTCCACTTGCTGGAACCCCGAGGGTGGCCACTTAATGGTGGTTTAACTTTAATCATGTTTGTAGGCTGGTCTTAATTTCAATATTCCCCTGAATGGTGCTGTTATATACACTCCCAAATTATATTACCCCGCTCCATTGCATAAATTTGTTGACTGTCATCAATTAAAAACGAATTGGTTTGACATCTCATAATAATAAGGTAGCCCGTCTTTGAACAATGTGACCATGTTTCTTAAAACAACATTTCTTTGTTAATTGGTTCTGCAGAAATAATTTTAAAAAGCTAAGCATCCCAACCTAACAAAACCGTGGGTCAATTTAAACGGAACGAAACAGTTGTGCTCATTTCTCCACGTTTAACACTTCCTACTGTTTTTACGCTTGTCGTTAAATCAAATTGCCTCGTTTGCTAAAGTATCTGCTTGTGGAGTTAGTTTTTGCCTTGTCCTTCATCACGCTTCATGTCTTACGTCAGTTTACCAAGACAAACTTTCACTTCTTTTTCCTCTTTTACCTTCGCCCACTTCCCCGTGGTCGAATATTCTGCTGTCTCTATTTTGTTATTGTCTTCTACTCAGGTCCAGTCGTTGCGGGCGTGGTCGGCAACACTATGCCTCGTTACTGTTTGTTCGGCGACACAGTAAATACTGCGTCCAGAATGGAATCTAATGGAGAGGGTAAGGGTCAGCTTGTTCTGAACTAATGATAATTTTTCCAGTGACATTACAAGTAACTGCCTTGATAGCAAGTTGGTTATGCGTTTTGACAAGGCCGGCTGCCCCGCGAATTACGTTAGAGTATAAACGCAAACTGAAGTGTTTCAATCTGAACCTGGTAAGACACTCCTGTTTATAGGTCTAGGTGTTGGGTATAGAATAAGATGTAAATAAGAAGTAAGTAATATGTTAAATTTGGTTTTATATTGAGCTGAGTAAAGCCCTTTTCCTGGAAAGGTCATGATTGGTCATAGGACCCTTCTCCTTCAAAGATATATGTAATCGGCAGTATTTAATCGCTCTGAAGTCTTTTTCCAAAACCTTGACGCCTTTCTTTCTTCTGTCTTTCGTTTATTGTCATTTGTTTTGCTGTATTTTAGGCCTTAGAATTCACATAAGTGAAGCTACAAAGACAATTCTAGATTCACTGGGAGGTTTTATAATTGAGGAGAGAGGTCAAATATGCATTAAGGTGAGGACGTACTTATCGTCTTTAACGTAAATCCTGGGGACACTGTGAATTGGGGTGGTTATAATTTATCAAATTCAAAAGTTATCGTTTCTGAAAATACACTAGCGATAAAAATTAATATGTTGAAATGTGGCCTTAAACTGCTGTCCGTTTTAAAAAAAAGATAAAAATCAAAGCTTTCGCCGATCGACGGCATCATCAGGGGTGAGAAAATATTCGACGTGGAGCTATATATATATACAAAACTGGTGTGAGGTAAAATGTGTAAAAGCGTGACAATAATGCAGAAGTCTGTTTGAAAGGTAGAGAAATAAAAATTGAATAGAGTACAATGGTCTAATGACCGAGTGTCTCTAGACAAGGGTCTCTTAAAATACATATAAATAGTCTCTAAAAACACCAAAAAACCCTAAAAAAAAGGTCTGCAAATTCGCTACATTTCTCACGGGAATTGAGGGTAGGCTTGTACTTATGTAAAATGCCTCGCATAGGGTCGTTTTCATTCTAAATAATCTTGACTTCGATGCCTTTATAGTCATTGTTCTGGTAGGAATAGATATGTTTTTCAAAGAGGAGTTTTAATTATTGAGGTGTTCTTTTATGCGATCGTGGATTAAGCGTGTCGTGCTACCCATGTATTGCTGATTGCAGCTGTTACACGTGATCTGGTACTCCGTTTCTTCGTAAACACAATTTGGTGCTGGAGATGGGGCACTTGTCTCTAGTGCATGCGCGCTCCATGGTGTTGTGAGATAGAGCTCGGCTAAGGGTGTAGGATTTGTGGGCAATGCGTACTGGGACTCGTTCTGAAATCGGAATCTTAAGGTATGACCCTTCCGTGTTGGAAGGTTGAGGGTTTCTTTGAGGACTCTGTGGACATTTTGTTTACTCTATACTGCTCTCTGGATAACCGTTATGCGGAGGATGTCATGGAATGTGTTTAGGTGCTGCATTGCTGATATCTGTGAGGAGCACCTGTCCTCGATGCGTTTCCGCTCGTTGCGAATGAAGTTGATTTTGGATTTCATGGGTATAGCTGATTGATAATGGACAAATAACTTTTTTTCTAGAATTCAAAAGAGCTGTTGCCATCCTTGGATATGGTGAAATCGAGTAGTGAAAGTGACAGGCTATTCGGTGTTCTTTCTAATTTTTCCATTTCAAATTTCAATTAAGGGTGCACATTGTTCATTGTATGGTGGAAGTGGTCTGCCATTTCTTCATTAGCCATTTGGAGATAAATGTCGTCAAACATACCTCCTGTAAGGGCTTATCATTACTGGTGTGAGGAGAGGGTGATGGTTTCAAGTTTGTCCATGAAAAGATGGCCTGTATGCCTGAAATGCTAGAACCCATGGGTAGGCCCTCTTTTTGGCGGAAACTAGATCTTTGAAGGAGATGGATCCTCTGCAACTTGCTTTCAAGTTCTTCTTTAGACTCTGGGCCCAGTTGTTCGAACGCCGATTAGCGCTTAACCCGGGTTAAATTTAACCTTTGTTTCTTTTTCTTGTGTTCAAAAGCATTTTCTCGGATAATTTTCTCTGTTATTTTTAGAGCTTCCAATCATCAACTTGTAGACAAAAAGAATTTAAACGGAAATGCTTTTTATGCTGTGTTTACACTCAAGCGTTTACTAAGGTAAACATTAACTGACTAAACCCTGGTACATTTGTACAGTGTTTATACGGGCTCAGATAACTAAGGTAAATCTGTCATCAATCACAACCTAATCGCATTGGCGGCAAATTCTAAATCCACGCATAAAATGCTCGCATTTAAAAGGGAAACTGTGGCTCTTGTAGTCCTCGCGTTTTATTTTCTTGTTCTTGATCAGCAAACCCAGGAATCGAGATTGCAGCATCTCTTACTTTTGCAGCACCTAAGGAGGTCGAGGCAAAAGTGATTAATTCTGCTACAAATTGCCCTTCGCAAAACAAGGCGCGATAGACGTGCGTGGTCGTGGCCGAGAAACCAATTCTGGTTCGAAACTCTATTAAACGGAAATTTTGTTGTGGACCGAAACCAATCGTGGAAACCTGGTCGAAAACCTGGTCTCGAAAACGTGATCGAACGAGAGTGACGCAATCCCGACACCACAGGATGTGAAATTCTATGCGACCCGCAAGCGGATGTATCTGTCATCCAAACCTTGGTTACCGACCTTAACCATGCCTGCTCGCAGGGTAAACCGAACTTTTACCTTAGTTAACCTTCTATTGTCTTGAGCGGTGTTTCTCGCACTAACCCTGGGTTATCATAACCCAGCTTTGAACAACTCGGCCCTGGTCTGTCAGTGATGTGCCGGGTTTGTGGATAAGTGAGGAAATGTGAGTTTTGAGGGTTTGAATCACGGAAATGTTTTCATCGTATTTGGTTGGCTAGTCGTCGGTAGAATGCAATACTGATGCTCGTGATTGTGTGTTCATTTACTCCAGGAGAGAGTCTAAACTTGCCGGGCCTTTACTGGGATAGGAGGTTGATTTCTTGATCGTTAAGGTTGCGTGTGAGGTCAGTGATTAGGGTTGTTTCGTTTGTGGTCCTTGGGGAGTGTGTATAGTTTGTGTCGACTGGTGATAAATTTAGCAAACATTTCTTTGAAATTATGGCTTGTTTTGTTTGACAGGGAAAGGGTAATATGTTGACGTATTGGCTGGTTGATCACACCCATAGAAGACGAACTCGTCACCATCGTTCTCCAAAGAAATCGGCTCGTCGTTCGACGATGATGAATCTTTTCCCATGCCTTACTAACGAGGAATCCTGTATCACGCGTTCTTCGAGTCTGCGAAGATCGTTAAAATCAGCCTCCAGTAGCCCAGCGTTGCCCAAAGCTGTAGTGGTTATGACTGACAATGATGGCATGGAAAACAACCGTAAGAAAAAATCAAACGATCACTCTATTACGAGTGTTTGATTACATCACTTATTTCTTCAGAATTGTCAAGTCTGTTGGGCGGGAGCCTATTTTCGAACTTGCCATACTTGTTTGGACACTAGATCCAAATAATGTTCCGATGTTGCTGTGGTATCATCGTCTGGCCCACTGTACTCACCGTCTAAGTTCTTTACAACTGTCTCTGTCTTTACATGCATGTATTTAGAATAACGTAGACAGTTAATGTTGGTAGATCTCGCTTAAGTCACATATTCAAGGCTTGCCTTCTAGAAACGATTTTTGTTTCGAGACATAGCAATATAATGGCCTAGCACCAAGGGGGGAAATTGTAGTCTCCTGTGAAGCAATTTAAGGATGTCGTCGTGGCATCTTGGGAAAGCTGCAAGCTTTACACTCATTTTACCCCTTCTTCTTAAAGCAAACTTGATTTTTGTTTGTGTATTTGATTACTCCTAAGCCAGAGGAAGTTGGTTTCAAACGGCGTCAACACCCGCACTGAGCTAATGTCGTCGGAGACTGTTAGGAACGTCAGTGTTCCAGATGTGAATATCGGATATCTCCAAATATGGCGAGCGGTCGCATGTGAAACGCTTCTCTGCAGTAATAAGTACACAGGACCAAACTGTGACAAAATGGACTTAATGTTTGTTCTTGTAACTCAGGAATACATAACTTGCTGAACGTGTATGTAGAGGAATGATGACTAGGGCAAGTCGCATAATAAACAATTATTGGATGAGGTTTTCGTGATATCTAGAATAATCAAGGTCGAGGTAGGGGTTATCGGCTGAGGCTGATAACCCTTACTGAGACCTTCATTATTCTGGATATCACAAAAAGTGAATCTAATAATTGTTGTATTAAACATTGAGCGAAAAAAAAAATGGTCACGACAGTAAGTAGAACTAATGATTTCTTTCTTAACGTGTAAAAAGGTTCTCTCAGTTTTTTCTCTATCGCTTAATCGACAAACAGCTCCTTCGCCACCTTCGTCGACCTTTTTGTTTTTCGTGAGTCCTTGTCTTGAACTATTTTTCGATGTCTTGCTTGGTCAACGAAGCAAACCTGGAAGTCAACTTTTTGCTTCGTCACTGACGGCAGGCACAAAGCGCTGAAACTTGACGTGATTACACTTAGAAATCATGCACCGCGGTGATACATGACATGATTACCCGTGACCTTGAGTGTCCTTGACATGATTATTGTATAATCTGCAGCCTGATGAAGTCCCAGGCGCTGATTTCGACAATTCACTGTACGCTTTCGGCCAATCAGAAAAGAGATAGTGAGTTGAATGTATAATAAATTTGATTATTAGTGGCAGGTACAAAACACATAGTGCCATACATCACCAGTGGAAGTCACTGCTCTATTGATCATTAACCAAGATAAGCAGTTGCCCTTAAGCTTAAGCTAAAACTCTATTTCGGATTTGGATTAGGGCTAGGAGACATTTTTAGTGTTGTTTATTTACCGTAGCACGGTAACCTATACTCTTGTGACCTGTCTTGTACCTGCTGCCTTATAAGATAGACAAAACGACTATTCCCGGTGTGATCTTCTTTAATTGTTTATGGAATGAATTGATTGATCAAAATTGCTACGAAAATCCTTATATAACTGCTGGATCAGATGAATATTTATGATGAACCACGGGGTGCTCAACATGTGAATAATTTAGCCATAAAAAGGATAGTATAGCGAGTTAATCACCGCCGTGAAAATTGTACAAATAAAAAGTCGTAGAACGATTTAGTAGGAGGTATTTTATTTTTTATATTTTGAATTGTTTAGACAAGTGATTCATAAAACAGCTCCACTGTGTGAGAGCCAACAAAGATTTAAAAACTCGAGAATAAAGGGTTGCATAAAATATCAATGCACCTAGGTGCAATCTTATTATCCAGAGTCGCATATTTGCGGTCGTTGATTTATATTGTTTTCCTAGAGATGACTTATTTTAGAGTGTTCCCACAACCAACCTATCGCTGAACGGCCTCGCATAATGATTTCATGGGAGCATCCTTAGTTACATTAAATTCTTGTGCATTAGCACATAAATATTGTAAAATTAAGTAGTGATATTAGCTAGCAGATAGCTATAAAAATTGCATAGCTTAACAAAGGTGTCTTTTAACTCTTGCACTTAATTCTCCTTTCTATGAAGGATTCGTTTGCCAATAACTTTTAAAAACAAAATGTGAAAGCGATGAATTCGCTCCAGAGACGGCGTGTAAATAGCACACAGATACAGTTGGTAGAACAAGTTTTTCTTCCTTTCATTTTACTCTCCTTAAGAGTGTGAGAATGTGAATGTGATCGATATCATACAGCAAAATACTGATATATTTTTATTCATTTGTGAATAAGAGTTGTTTTTAAACTTTGTAATTATTGCGTAGTTTTTACTTCCTGACGTACTTTGAAATTACCTGTACAGGAATTTTCACCGTGATGTGCGCGATTTTAACCGCTGATACATTTAATAAATCTTAACATGTTCATTCAAAATTGATTTAGGAATAATCATTGTCTTATTTAATTAACTTGTAATGTTCTCCTTTCGTCAAATCATTTTTGTCTTCAGAACCGTTCAGTATAATGAGTCGAGGTTCGAACTATGGCAGGGCCCCCAAAACGAAAACCTATAAGGACTTTGCGACAAACAAAAAATGTTTGTTCTCCAGGGATCGATAGCGTAAAAGCCAGCGTTACGTATCTAACTGTATCTCATTGACCAAGAAGCGAGCACAAATAATGTACGATCGGTGCACCAACCACGAGATGTCTTTGAGTTCCGAATAACTCCAGGTACAATCCAAGGTTAGTTGAGTCCTTGCTACCGCTGAACTAGATAAAGGCTTGGGTGTCATTTGTTTCATCTAATGTCTCATCGGCTTCCATGAGTTGTCTTCTTTTGAACAAGGGAGATTCGCTGATAGCTTTCATATTTCTTCTGAGAGATGACGCACGTGACAACCTGCAAGGCGATGGAGGCGGTTCCAGCATTTCCCGGAAAGCAACAGAAGCATCTGTCAGTCCTTTGTGGCGTTTAGTAGATGGGCGATGCCGATGTAATGCCCGGTTTGCAAAATCAATTAACCAATATCCTTTAACTGTCCCTTTGCCCTATAGTAGCAAACAGACGTCAAGCTTATCAAATCTGATTCAAGGACCTTATGCTGGTTTAAACAGCCTTAAAATTGACGCTTACCAAATATTAAAGTGTACATTAACCTGCGTAAAGGTGAATTTACGTGCTGCGTAAAGCTGGCATAAAAAACTGCCTTAAGGTTTATTATTATTCATTCAAAATATTTCCTCAATTCTGATTGGCTAAAAGCACACGCATAATTCACCATAACCAGTTACTGATGACCAAATTTGAAGAATTTTGTGTTTAACGAGGAAATGACGTCAAAAATGCAGCCTTCTACAGGTTAATGCACCGTTAACCGGGAAGACCTGGGGACGACATTGAGTTGTTTTCGTTGTAAAACCTAAAATGGCGGCCACTTCACTCGTTTCAAGAGTAAGAAGTACAGTTGAAACTAGGCGAAATAATGGCTAAAAACATAGCAAAAAAGGCAGGAAGACAACTCGCAGGGCGACATCTGCTATTTGGGGAATATTTGCGGAGCTGGACAAACCTAAACGTAAACTATCGAAGATAAACTTAACATCGATGCAGGTAAGCTTGTTTGAGCTATGTTTTTGAACTAGGAATTATTTTAAATGAATAATAAAGCAAAATAACTTAAGCCGAAAGCATAGTATACTTCTTAATACCTCTAGAGCCTCCCACAATAGGCGGAGCCGAATGCCGGAGCTGCCTATTGTGGGAGGAGCTAGAGGTATTAAGAAGTATTCTATGAGTCGCTCGTTCATTAATTGTTAAGTATTATTCATTCAAAATATTTTCCCGATTCTAATTGGCTAAAAGCACACGTTTAATTCACCATAACAGGTTACTGATGTCCAAATTTGGAAGAATTTTGTGTTTAACGAGAAAATGACGTCAAAGGCACCGTTAACCGAGAAGACCTAGGGACGAGGTTGAGTTGTTTTGATTGTAAACTTGAAAAATGGCGGACATTTCACTTGTTTCAAGAGTAAGAACTAGGCGAAAAAATAGCTAAAAACATGGCAAGAACAGCAAGAAGACATCTCGAAGGACGACAGCTGCTATTTTTTTTGCTGGATTTCTTTTCTTAAACCCGCCACCAATTTGTCAATTATTTGCTATTTTTAGCAGAATGGTCCCGTGGTATATCACGACTTATAAACACAATATTTATACCTTTAAATTTTTAAGGATGGAGTTCTTTATTTTTATTTGTGCCAAATTTTATATTCAGCTTCACAATCTGTGCTGAAGGTATAGCCAATAAATCATTTTTCACAGGTAAACCAATACGTGCCAGTCCTTGAACTACTCGACGTTGTAAAAGCTTTACGCTCATCTACGCTTTATGTAAAGGTTGAGTAAGGTTGCCCTTAGCATGTACCAAGTCTTCATGCTACCTTCCGCATATGCGTAAAGGAAGCGTAATGTTTGACTTTACATGGCGTAAATGAGTTGTAATGTTACATAAATGAGAACTCAGCGCAATTATTACGCTCACTTAAATTATTTCTTATTTTTCGTGCTCAATGTAAGATTGCAAATCAAGTTTAAGAATCGCCTACCTTTAAGTGTACGGGTCCTCGTTCTTCGATTGTAAAGCCTCCTAATGTTTCCAAAATAGACTTCGTTGCTTCGCTAATATGAATTTTTAAACCTGAAAAAAGTATACGCGTATCAAGAATTAAGTCTCAAGTGCGCTGCAAAAAAAGGCACTGTTTTCCTGAGCAGTGTACTAGTGAGTAGCTGTTGCTTGAAGCACTCCCCACTCTACGCTACAAGAGCAACCGGGTCACGCTTTGTGGTTCAGTGTTACCGCGACAAAGTAACAGAACAATAAAATTGATCAGAGATATGAAACATTTTCAGATTGTGCATGAAACTGGGTCAGTAATGACTTTGTCGAGTTGCACCAATATGGGACTGTTTGGGGGAACAAAGTTTGAATGTGCAACTTCGTAAAAATAAAGTAAGCGCCCCAAAACCGTCCCATAATGCAATGTGACATTCACCGGCTCAGTCCCACGTGACCTCAAAATGGCCAATCACTAACGCAAAAAATTGGGTTGTTTTGCAGTCTAGTCCTGTTCCATTTTATTTTTTGGCTTCTTTTCTGTCCTTTTTGTCTTTTTTATTAAGATTAGCTGGCATATTGCGCATAACTTAGCCCTTTAAAAAGTTGTCAATGTGAAACGATTTCTTACCTTCTCCAGTTGATTCCATTCTAGACGCTGTGTTCACTGTATCACCAAATAAACAGTAACGTGGCATCGTGTTACCCACCACACCAGCCACTACAGGGCCTAGAAAGAACGTAAACAAAAAATGACTAGAGCTACGCTTGAGCGAATAAGGTAATCTCTGGAGTATTTCTGTGGATAATTTTTTACTTATAGAGGCTTCCCGTGCACCAAAAGCTTGGGTTAACCAGGGTGCAAGCCTGGTTCAAACAACGAGGCTTTCTTGGTTGTCAAACCGGGCTTACCCGGCCAGTTAACCATCTATCCAAAAACCCTGGTTAACCTGGGTATTCCTGGTAAGCCTGGTTATTATGTAAACCAGGTAATAAAAGCAAAAGAACTATTTTCTTTAGTCGACGATAATTATAGAAAAGAGAAAGGAGACCACGGAGGGGCCGAAAAAACGAGGACGACACAAGCCGACGAGGAAGGACCGAGTTTAACACTACTCATACACTGCACTATGTATAATGCCTTGCTTCGCGGACTTACCACTGTGTATACCAACACGCAGTTCGATTTTATGGTCAGGTTTGTGACGAATTGTAAAATCCTTCTTTACTCCTTCAATTAAATGAAGCGCCATTCCTGCTATTTCCGCAGCGTGGTTGTGACCATTTCTTATTGGAAGGCCAGATACTACCATGTAAGCGTCTCCTATTGTCTCAACCTGACAGAAAAAGCCAATTCTACATTAACATACATTAGCATTAGTTAATTTTAACTTCACATGGTTTGGTTGTACCAAAAGATGGCTGTTTTAGATCCGTCTGATGATTTGTCAACTTAATTTTCTCACTGAAACACGTTATAGAGAAGAGAAGTGTGACGCCAAAAAATTTCAAATCTGTGTAATTATGGGATAGGTTGGCACATCCAGAAAGAGCAACAAAATATTTTTACTTGCCAAAAATGAGCCTGTTAAAGCAAAATTGGCGGGGAGATATTAGTACTGTTATGCTCCGATGACTCCATATAGATCCTTCTAAAATACGACCCAGGCCCATTTTGTTTGTTTTTTTTTTTGGTGTTCCAAACAAATCCTGTGGGAGTTCAACTCTTTTCTTATGTAAACAATTTCTTCTGTTCCCATAAATTTGTATAAATGCTGGTCACATGACTGAAAACGCTCTATATCCATTGAAGCAAAAGTTTGCCTGGTATAAATTCGGTGTGAGGCTTTTGAGTCTTTAGTCTCCCTCGCAGCCGTTTTTTGGATGTCACGCAACGCTCCCCCAAAAGAACGTTGCGTGACTTCCAAAAAACGGCTGCGAGGGAGACTATTAAGTCTTTAGCTCATCCGGCACTTTTCCTACACAGTTAACCAAAACAGATTCAAAATGAGGGTAAAAATCTGAGGGGCTTCGTGTCCCATTTCTCCGACCAAATGTACTGGCATCGAAGCTCGGGTCATTGCAAGCATAGGAGTACTTTCTCACTACCTTCACCCCTGTTGGTGTTAGAAAGCAACATACCTTATAAACGTCAAATGCACTTATGATGTCATCAAATAGCGTATAGAGGTCATTTAAAAATGTTACAACCTAAAAGAAAGAAAAACGAGCTCGGTTGCAGTATTTCAAAGTTCAAATGAATTTCTTCAATGTTTTCCAGTCGCCCTCAGTGTAAGGGAATCCGGATTTCGGAATCTGGAAAATTCTTCTCGTGGAATCTGGAAACCTGGGCACTGGAATTCGGAATACAGCCCAAGGAATCCATGCAGAATCCCACTAACGATTGGAATCTAGTAAGTAGCATCCGGAATCCCTAAAGTGAAATCCAGAATCCAACACTGTCTTGGATTCCCTTTCATGGGCCGATTTCCAGAATGGAACACAGACTGCTTGTTGCTCTTTATTTTGGCCTTGTCATTACCGTATTTTTTTTTTCTTCTGGGCCTGGAATTTGGCCAGTCTTTTATTCGCAAGATGACGAGGAAACACCTACATCCTTTTTAACGACAAAATCCTAAGAGAAAATTTCTAATTAAAGTATAAGATACCTGCATCGGTGTACTTGACGATGATAGCTCAGTAAATCCAACAATGTCACTGAAGTAAATGGAAACCTCATGAAAACTTTCCGCTTCTACTGCTTTACCTCTTTTAAGCTGCTCTGCAACAGGTCTAAAAGACAAAATATTGGCTTAAACGTTTGTGCAAGAAACAATTTAGGAATTTTCTTTCGTGAGCAGGACGCAGTGTATAGGATAAAACAGTCGTCTAAGCGAGGGGGCTCAAGCCCTCCGTCAGGACACTTTCAGGCGGAACTGAACAGAATTTTCCCTCCTGGGGAAGGGAGTACTCCCTATAATGGCCTAGCGGGGAGGCTATGTATGAAAGGGTAGGGATTTCCCGAAATGAAGTAATTGAAAACGTTGGGTAATATGTCATTTCCAATCGGTAGTTTATAAGGCTTTAAATTAAAGTATTTCGAAATAACGCAACTTATGCCTGAGGAAATTGCAAGAATAACTTCCTGTTTTAGAGATTAATTTTATTCATATTAAATTGACGAGTCAGTTAGAGCAGTTAGGTAGGTATGTAAAAAGGAGTACCATTTGACAACGGACGGTATATATTCAAAGGGTAACTTTTCTTGTCACAAATGGTACGTATATAAAAAGGTAAGGGGTTGGACCATGGGATGGAGTCTCCCCTCATAAAATTTTGTTGAGTAAGTCACCTTTTACCATGTGATATTATTGTAAAACCTTATACCTTGGTAATATTCTATCCAACAATGCATCAGTCTTTTTCTTCTCCTCTATCAGCTGAGCGGTTCTGTCACTCACAAGGTCCTCTAGATTATCTGCGTATTTCTCCATCATATACACCACATTGTCAAATATATTTGTTTTCCTAAGGATAGAATAGAGGGGAGAATGAGTAAACAGTAGTTCTATTAAGATCGAAAGTCGGTTAACTTTGTAACTGTTTGTAAATTCACCACCATTTACGGTTAGGCATAAGATCAAGACGAGTTACCAGGGCTTGTCGACGGTGCAACACAGTGTGAAACCAAACCGTTAATCTGCCAGGACTGACCTATTTTTCGTTTTCTTATGCTGCGTGAAAACATCTCTCTCTGCGTTATATGCCCTAAGTGGACAGTATTGAAATCATCGATTTCTCATGCAATCGAATCAAGACTTGCATTGTCAAGAGTATATAATCACCATCATCGGTCGACAGATGAGCAGTCGACTGTAAATCGTCTCAACTGACTCAGTCTTGGGCAATGCCCACAATGTCATCCTCTGAGAAATGCTTATTGGTATCGATCCATTCCTGCACTTGGCTGGGTATATAATTCTGGTATCAGGATAATTCTGAACAATGAAATATTGGAATTGTCTTTTCTTACATGCCACTGTTTATCAATATTCTCTGCATGGTTTTCTTGATCTCGTGAAAGTCTGGACGTGCTTCAGGCTTTTCCTCCCAACAAAATTTCATCAATTCTCTTAACTCCTCCACTTGAGGGATGAGGGCGACTTCGGTGGGGCGAAACGGAGGCACCTCGCACTCACTGACGCGCTTTATGATTTCTAATAAAAGAAATAAGAATTGAGAATGTAGGAATCAGCTACTTTGGTCTTCCTAAAGAAAGCGTGGAAGACGCACCCATAGGCATGCAGGCGAACTAAACGTTGTCACCAGCTCGTGTGAGTAAAAGTCCAGTTGAGTTTAATTAATAAAACCCATTACCATGTCCATAGGACATTAACCGTTGAGTCGTTACCCTCAACAATAATATTTATCAAATGTCACATCATTACCCTCAACAATATTTTCTCAGTTAACGTGTAACTAATCCATATATATGCAGATTTTATGTCATATTTATAACCAGGCCCTGCTCCTGAATGGCGATTAGCGTCAATCACATTTAGCAATGATAAAGTTATAATTTACCTCCCTAGAGATTGTTTGGGGCATGTACATCTCAGAGGAGTAAAGGATGAAAAATGTTTCAAAAGCTCCAGGTACACGTTCCTAGACAGGAAGACGTTGCTAAAAATTTGGCTTAACTCTTAGTTAAGCCAGTGTAGCTGGCTGTATTAGCAGGCAAATGCTGCTGTTTTATTTTTGTTGTTGTTGTTGTTGTTGTTGTTGTTGTTTTATTGCTGTTTGTTTGTTTTTTCTTTCTTTCTTTGTCTTTTTCCTCTGGCGACGCAACCGCGAGAAGATCGGGAGCAGGTCAAACGCTTTAACGAGTAATTGACTGGAAAACAGGCACAACAGAAGGTAAGGTGACTCAGTTGCTTTGTGGAACTGGAGAAAAAAATGGCGGAAGATTTCTCACGTTTTGACCGAAAGAAGTAGGAGAACGGCTGCTAAAAACATAACAAGAAGGGAAACTCGACAATGCAGTGCCACTCGACAAATGACAACTGCCATTTAATGAATATCTCCTTCATATCCTGAGACTGCCAAGGAGCAAGTAAAAGTTATAAAGACGGTAACTTACATAGATCATCTAGGTAAGCATATTGTAAGTTTGAAATATTTTGAATGAATAGTGAAACAATTAAATAATTCGTCTTTGGTTTGATTTGTAAATTATGCAGATCACATTCTTCTCGACCTGCATAATTCTTCACATCATACCGTCTCAGCCTCATCCAATAATTGCTAAATATTCTGACTAGCCTTTGGAACTTTATTCTATTATTTACAGATAAAATTTTACCTTTTGGCTGTAGATAACTGCCACTATAGGGTGCTTCTCTGGTGTGAAATTCTTGCAAAATAATAGCAAAACTGTATACGTCTCCTTTCTGTGTTCCATTAACTGGACGGTCGCTCATTCGAAGAATTTCTGGAGCCATCCATAAAAGTTCTAAATGCAAAAAGTGGCCAAAGCTGGTTTTCTCTCAAAGGAAATTATAAACGAAGATCTAATTACTACTTAAACGTTTGGATTAATTAATCGCAAAAACGTCCATGACGTATTTTTCGCGGACTCTACCTGTCTGTTGTTCAGCCTCTGAAACTGCGACACACAGAATCACGAAACAAGGCTCACAATCTTTCTTAGGCGTTTCGCCCTTAACGTGGTGGGGAGGTTTGCGTGCCTGGGTGATCCTGAAAGCTATACGAGTCGGGACCTCGGTCCCTGGTAGTTCAACCGTACAGGGAAGGTTTTAAGTGGGTGAAGGGCCAAACGAATTGCAACGCCTGAGCCTCCAGGTCGGGGGTTGGGCTTTGGGTTGATGTCCCATCCCGGTAAAAAGGTGAGAATACGTTCCACGCTGCTGATTAAAAGAAACACCCTGGCTGATGCACTCGAATGCAAAAACTCAAACACATGACGGATAAAATACCTTTATAATACAAGTCAGTATAGAGGTAACTTTTCTTTAGCTTGGATCGAATTGTTGGTAGACCGTAGTCAGCAATCTTTAGTACCCAGCGGCTATCCACTAAACAATTGGAAGATTTAAGATTCCCGTGCGATTTGATGTCCGAGCTGTGAAGATGGGCCATACCCTACAAAAAATAACGTGTGTAAGATACATACATGTATGACTTAACGGGTAAGATCAATGAAATTTTTTTGAAATCATGCATGCCATAAGGCGGGAATAACATTAACTATAATTATTTGCAACACTTTCAGAAAAATACACAGTTACCTTAACTATATCATTGACAAGTGAAGAAATAAACATGTGGTCCAATTTCACATCTTTATTCGCCAAGATTTCCTTGTAATGAAAAGGAAGAAATCAGACATAATTATCTTTGAAATGATTTTATAGACAACGTTGAGTAGAAAGTACATCACAGTGTTACATCATTATCAACATCCTCCAGTATTTATAGCTTTAGTTAAGAGTGTAATGTATAAAAAAATGTATATATAATTAAAAGAAGTCTAAGAAGTGTAATGTTAAGAGGAACCATTAAGCATACACGCAGAATTAGAAAACATCAGCTTCAGTGAATCAAAATAATGTTACTTTAAAATAGCTAAATCAACGAATAAAGAAACAATAATAAAATAATAATAATAATAATAATAACAATAAAGTTAATTATGTTGATGACGATAACGACGACGATGACGGTGACGGTAATGGTGACGATGATGACGATGACAATGATGATGATGATAATGATGATGATGATGATGATGATGATGTACGAGCTCCAAAAAATGACTTTTCTGGGAACAGCCCAAGGTTCTGAAGGTTCATGTCAAATAAGTGAACTCGTTGGTACCCAAGGTCCATGGTTTGGAGCCGGTGCTTCAGGGATTAAACAAGCAAGCCGAGGATTGCAAATGACAATGATAATAATAATAAAGTCAAACTTACTTGAAGGCTTCCACGAGAGTAAAATGCTGTCACAATGCAAATGTTCGGAGGGTCAATGGTAGCTCCGATAAAGTGTGCAAGGTTGTCATGTCGAACATCAAGCATCTGTGATTGAGACAACAAAGCTGAATTGAAAAACTACGGTCACGGTCACGCATAATCGAAATTTATTTTTCAGATACCTGTTTCATTTCCACTAGCACAGAACGGGTTAAATCTACAGCTTTTGTGCCAACTTGTTTAACTACCACAGAAGTCCCCTAGAAAACAAACAAACAATAGGATAACTGATTGGCGTGGCTTTAACTTCGATCCTTCAATGAGACAATTATAATCGAATAAAAACCGATCGCCCCATGTCCAGAATCTTGGAAATTTTTGCTTGTGGAATCCGGATATCTTGGAAATTTTTGCGTGTGGAGTCCGGAATCTTGGAAATTTTTGCATGTGGAATCCGGAATCTTGGAAATATTTGCCTTTGGAATCCGGAATCTTGATATATTTTTGCAGGTGGAATCCGGAATCTTGGAAATTTTTGCATGTGGAATCCAGAATCTTGGAAATGTTTGCCTGTTGAATCCGGAATCCTGGGCCTTGGAATCCGGAATCCCACTAACAACTGGAATCCAAGTTCCACTGACAAAGATCTGGAATCCAGTACCTGGAATCCAGAATCCATGGCGTGGAGTCCAGAATCCAAGACTGCCTTGAATTCCTTCACATGGGGCGAAACAGAACTGAGTTATAATACTAGTACCTTGAAAAACCCAAATCGAGTTAAGTCGCCAGTGCTTTCACCATTTCTGATGGACTGGAGCAAAATGTCGCTTTCGTTCTCTTGGAAAGACTACAGAGAAACAAAAGAAAAATGAAATCAGTCTTACAAGCCAACTCCATGCACATATCTTGAACAACATTAATTACTATTATAATGACAGGGGGCCTCACGTTTTCTTCTTATATCTACGTTATCAAATCATAAAGTTACAACCTTTTTTAACATTTTATTGTTGTCATAGAAACATTTAAGGGTGAAATATACGAAAGTAACTTAGCGAAGACGGCTAATTTGTAAGACATATATTCTTAGGAATCACTTTTAACGAGAGCGGCATTGCCCTATCAAAAGTATAAGGTCTAACAACATGACGAAATTAACTTACTCTTTAAAATGTTTTCATCCCTATTTTTTGGGTCAGATATAAAACGAACTGAAAAAAAAAGTCTTACAAGCGTGTCATCGTCCATTGATTCGAAGTAGTCTGAGTTTGCAAGGACAATTCCAGAATAATCTATTTTCCATAATAAACTCTTCAGCTCTCTTTCCGATTTGATTTGTCTGAAGAAAGAAAACAAATGTACGGTAAGGTCAATTCAGAGAATTAAATCCAAAGTAGCTAGAGTTTATGAAAGAAAACCATTTATTTGGATCTTTCATGAGTACACACGCGGGGGGAGCGTATAGTGCCATTGCAATATAGAATAAAAGATTAACCTTTAGAGAGCAGCCGAACAAACTAACCTTATTCTGGTTACACAGAAAAGACAAAGCAGAAGGGCTGCAAACCCTGATATTCCAGCAATTATCGCCATCTTAACTGCAAAGTAATGAAAAAGTCAAATTTGATCAATTTAAAGTTATTGCCCCCGCAGGGATTTCGCCCAGAGGCGAAATCCCGAGGAGGCACCCTAGTAACTCGCGCGTATATTAAGGTCAGTACTTACAGTTCAAATATACAGTCAGTATAATAGAAAAAATCTCGATTTGCTCGAACAGGGGCCGCGAGGAATCGGTAGGTAATGATGACGTTTCTATTGTTTGCGCTCGCAAGTACGAAATGGTTAGAATGACGTAAAGACAGAAAATTCCGAAGGGACCGCTCAGGTAGATTTTGTGACATTTATTGTGCAGTCATACTTTGATACTCTCTTGCAGTACGCAGTGACATTCTGTGGAGCAGCTGTTTTGAAAGTTATGGGCCAAAAGACACTCGTTAAGCGCAGATGAGGTTATAAGGTGCGTTTAACTGTGTATATATAAACACTTGGAGGTTTGCCAGACACGAGTTCAGAAATCTTTGATAATATAACCTTTGGAACGGTCTGTGAGAAAGAGAGAGAAACTGGCCTTATTCTGAGTCGGGGTTTGTTCCTTCTGCTCACTTGTTGCCGATCGAATAGTGATCGTCTAACTACCTGTTAATGTACTTAAGCCCGACAATCAAATTCTGTGCTGACTTTTCCCCTGCTCACAGATGTCCTTGCGTTAAAAAGTTTCAAATAAGACTAGAATGCGCAAGCGTGAATCGATCAAACGTCCTTTTAATTTCTAAGGCTTACTTTCCGGCAAATAAAATGTCTATTGAACTAAATGTAAAAAGTGAAAGAGAAATAGCGAAAAATTCAACTTCTAATTAAATCTTTTCGTATGGTTTAGAATAAACTATTCTCGAAACTGAGAATGTTTTGATCAAAGCTGAGTAAATCGAGCTGAAACTGTACACGGAATCTTGCGTTTCCTTCCTTTTTCTCACCTATTGTATGGAATATGTGTGAAAATCTTCATTATGAATCGGTATATTTCAAAGAGCTACACAACCAGCAAGAATACTATTGACCGACAATGTACAGAACGGGGGCAGCTGTAGTGTCAACTATTACTAGTTTAAAAGAATTAAACCAACTATGTGTGAAATATTTAGAAAAAAAAATTTACATTTTCACTATAGAAGAATACCCCCCTCCCCCCCTTCCCAACCCTAACACGCATATAAAAAATAAAATAACATTCGCGTAACACGTACAGGGTGTCCCAAAAGTTCGTTCCTCTAATTTTCTGCGCTATAACTTTTGATTGGATCAAAACTTTATTTCTAGAAGATGTTTATTGTTCTATCGAGTACATGTATTCAGAATTTCAGTAACTTTTATGACATTCTGTAACTGTTGCAGCATGGTGTGTGATACAGCGGGCCACAGATGATCCATTTTGAGCTTTTTTATTTCCTGGTGCGCACGACAAATTTCAACCCCCAAACAATATTTGTCTAGATTAAGCATCTGAAAAACATATATTTTGGGCTTTCATCGAGAAAAGATAATCATCCTGGCCCCCCTCCACAGCAAGGCTACTGTACTTCTTTAAAAATTACTGAGCGTTACTTGGCAGACTATGCAGAGGTTTCTTTTTTGCCATATCAGGGGCCTCTAATTTTAAACATTTGCTTTTCATGACCCTTTCTGGACCTGGCTTGCTAACTATGTGTGAGCTTCCTCTTCGAGTCTCCTATTTTGTGTCTAGCCTTATTTAGAACTATTGTAGCTGCTTTATTCAGGACTTTTTGTCTTCCTCTTCGTTTCTTGCTTGATAAAACTAACTGCACCAAATTCAGAATTACTTACATCCTTGAAAGCATTTTCACAAGACTTCTCGGAGGCCATGTTGGTATACCAAACCACTCTTTTGGCACAAATAGATTTGCATAGATGCATTATCTCTCCTTGCATTTGATGGATGTTTTTCAATTCTGCAATCCATGTCAAGCCAGCAGAATACAGTTTGCAATAAACCACGTTAATTTTATAAAACCAAATGTACCAAGACTGGCCAAATTCAAGGATTACTTGAGACGTAATATCCTTAAAAGCATTTTCACATGACTTCGGGGAGGCCATGTTGGTGTACCAAACCACTCTGTTGGTCCGAATAGATTTGAATAGATGCATTCTATCTCTCATTGCATTTGATGAATGTTTTTCAATTCCGCAATCCAAGCCCTCATAATATAGTTTGCAATAAACCACGTTAACTTTGTAAAATTAACAGTACCAAGATTGGCCAAATTCAAAATTACTTAGAACGTAATATCCTTAAGAGCATTTTCACATGACTTCGCGGGGGCCATGTTGGTGTACCAAACCTCTCTTTTGGTCCAAATAGATTTTATATAGATGCTGGCCACCTGAGTGAAAACAGTCTATTAAACATTCTGTACTGAATATATTTGATTTAAATTTATTTTATTCGCCTTACCACTTTCAGCTTCCTTAGATGAATATTCAGGTGGGCACAAGTCGTTTTCAAAGCCGCATTCTGGACTATCCTTAGGGGGGGTTCCTCCAGGCCATTGAATTTTCGCATCAGACCTGAGAGCGAAGTTCACCTGAGGTTCGCTATTGTTTTGATATTGAATCGTAAAATTACCCACTGGCACAAGCTTTGCTGGGCATTCAGTCTTCACTACAATAAAGGAATCGAAACTCAATATCAAACATTTTCAATAAACATACGTGGTCTATACAAGTCATAAATTGTATTTGTGTTATGAAGGAGAGCGTCTTAACAAATTAGCTTTATAAGGAAAGCTCCTGTTGCATGGATGTTCCTGTTAATAATAATAATAATAATAATAATAATAATAATAATAATAATAATAATAATAATAAGTATAGGTAATAGCATGATTAGTGGTGATATTTGGCATAAATACCACTAGTGATATTTCAAAATTGTTATACGTAATTTCACGAGCCGTTAGGCGAGTGAAATTTGAGACAACTTTGAAATATCACGAGTGGTATTTATGCCAAATATCACGAACAAATCATGCTATTATTTGTTTATACTACTACCCGCAAAAGGGTTGTAATTTTCACATGTAGGTATTTCAAATTAAGCTGAAATACTACTGCTCTAAGCCAATCAGATTGCAGTAATTTCTCATGTAGTAGTATAATAATAATAATTATAAAAAATAACATAAACTAAAAAAAATATTAAGTAAATACAACTCACATGTATTCGGCCATCGCATATCCAGTAGAAATAAAATCTTTTCTTCCGCGTCACCATTCTTATCTATATAGACTCGCTCACCACGAATGCCTACATTTAGAGAAGAAGAAAAGTGCATTGCATCACGTTTATTGACCTATTTTAATCTTTGCCATCCAAAATTAGCCGTTGAATTAGAGCGAAATTCGTTGTGTCGCGCTGTGCGTTTTGCAAACTTCGAAGGAATTTCGACTTTTCCTGTTCCGTCAATCATCTTAGCGGAAACACAAGTCATGTTTATTTGCACGAGTTCAAAAGGTCATGGTTTGTAATTCGTGATTGGTTGATTTCGATCCGTTTTGTTTGCTTACGCAGCGAGACTCATAATCTGCAACGCGTTTTACGCCCCTTATACCGGCTATATAGGTATTTGTATAGGTAATAGCATGATTTGTAGTGATATTTGGCATAAATACCACGAGTGATATTTCGAAATTGTTGTACGTAATTTCACGAGCCGTTAGGCGAGTGAAATTTGAGACAATTTTGAAATATCACGAGTGGTATTTATGCCAAACATGTAGGTATTTCAAATTAAGCTGAAATACCACTGCGCTAAGCCAATCAGATTGCAGAAATTTCTCATGTAGTAGTATAAGCGGTGTCATAGGGTATAGTTTGTGGCCGTTTTGGTCTGAAATAGGGTATCAATTTCGACTATTTTGGTCTGAAATAGAGTATGGTTTGTGCACTCTAGTCTTGAATTTGGTATGTTTTTTAGAAGAAGCTACTTCTTCGTTATTTGGCCATAAGACCATTTTAATGTTTACGCCAACCGTGTACGTGCCGTAACAGCTTCTCACGCGCTCCGGTCACGCGCTGCGCTCCAGGGCTGAGGTCTGAAATAGGAGATCAAATTTATGATCAGGTCTCAAATAGGGTAGGAAAAATCTCAGATTTTGGTCTGAAAGAGGGTAAGGGTTCAGGAAGCGTTCTGGAAGTACCCCCGGGTTTTTTTCCGTAGTATTTTGTATACAAATGGGGGGATTATTGTGCCAGGTGTTCCTTGCGTAGACCGAGGAAACTGGGACTAAGAATCGTTGTAATCGAAGCCACGCATGTTTGCGAACGATTAAATTTAGAGCTTTTCTGAAAGTGTCGGTCCACGAATTCTATCGCTTGAAAGCGTTGACTACTTTCGAACAAGTGAGCACTACAGAGTAGTCGAAAAAAAAAAAAAAAGAATCTTAATCAGCAAAACAGCGATAGGCGGGTGTTGTAAACTTTCATTGAATGCAAAACGGGTCTTGCGATGAGCATGCGGTCTATTTTCGGCGATGATTGAAATGACGTGTCATGTAAAACACTTTTTTTTTATCTCTGGCAATGACGTAATTTCTCTGGAATCGAGGCCCTATTTGTACACGCCTATAGCCTGCGACTGCAGACGTATTTCCGGTTGTCGCTAACACGCGTACTAAATCATTTCAGAAACAAGTAAAAGTATCGACGTCGATAAAGTAGGAAGTAAAAAATCTTTAGCGAGTAAATCCTGTTTCGTATAGAATTAATCGCCTCCTCATTTATCGATCTAATCTCCAAAGAAGCGAGACTGACTGCCGCTGTAAGTGCGTTCTTGTTAAATTTGCTTCGCAGATTTTCCTGATCTTTCTTATTCTTGTCACTTGCAAGAATAAAGCAACGTCTGCCTCCTTCCCTCGAAAAAAATCCGCTCACCATCGCCATTTCCTTCGCTATTCTTGAGCATTCTAGAGTCAGCGAACACGTTACATTGTGATTTACATTAACCCCGCCTTCATTAAAACGATTGACGGAACAGAAAAACTCAAAACCCCTTCGATGTGTGCATACACAAGCAGCGCGATACAACGAATTTCGCTGTAATTTTTCTGTTTTATTATTACTATTTTTTTGCTCTGTCATAACGTCTATTGAGCACTTTCCAAGAGTATGACCTTTAAGGATGCAACTTTTTGTTCGCACCTTCATGTTTTCAGTAAGTATAACAAGGGTATGAGTAGGCAATTAGGTTAAAAAGTACTTTCAGAAAATAAATAAATAAAATCTAGCTATTTTGAATTTATTTGGTACGCAGAAAGACTTCATCATCCTCGACATTTGTGACCCTCCACAGGAATTTGATGCTAAAGGTGAAAGCACGCGCGCGACACGCTTGCACGACACGCTTAGCGTGCCGTAGATCACAGATATGCGCATATTAAATTGAAAAAACAAAGACGGACACACTTGCCTTTGTTTTGGAAAATTTAACACGCTAGACCTTTTGTTTTTTTGTAGCGTGCCATATGTCACGGTAAGTGTGCGAATTATAGCACGGTTAGCGTGAAATTTGGGTAAGACACGCTGAACACGCTGAATTACTAAAACTGCTAAGATGATAAAAATGGCTTGGGTTTTCAGCGGATTTAATCAGCATTGATAACTGGTCGAAGTGTATCAAATACACCAATTGAGACTGTTTTGGAATTTGATCGTAACCGTGGCCATATGAAAATCACGACTTAATGGCGGGCTAGCCTGGAATTAACGCGAGATCAGTGTAAACCAATTCCTCCGGCTGTCGGCTGTTGAAGGGATTGGCAAAGAGGCCCTGCCGTCGCATGCGAGGCACTGAAGTTATGTCGCCTGAAAATTATAGTTATGCCACCGGGATATTTATTAGCAGTAATGCACAGAGAAATGAAGTTGAATAAACTAGTTTAATATATTTCTTTAAGCCATGCTGAGACGAAGGTAGGTAATTAAATCGGAGAAACAAAAACTGCCTAGAATTTTCTATAGGTTGAGGAAGGCTAAACATTTCTAGATGACCGTTCCATGCACGTACAATTTTCGAAGGTTATCTAATAAATTCCTTACGATTTTCCGAAGTTTAATTTTTTTCCATTTCATTCCCTCCCTTGCGATCGGCAAGAAAGTGTCTTAAGTCCGAAAGATCACTGTTTCTGAGAAAATTGCAATTGTGTTTTAAATTAAGGAAATTTAAGATAACCTTTGCACAGCTTCGTCAGTAAACATTTCTGGAAAGAACTTTGATTTTGCAATGCTAATATAGTTCTACCCATAAATCCAGTAGGTCACACCGTTCACTGTTTATACTTTTCAAGCGACAACGTTTTTTCAATCAGATACTATCGCTGCGATCGCTGAGGTATAACTTTTTCTTTCTCGATAGTTACGAAAAAAAGGTGCCGTTCATAATCATTTACGGTTCCCTTTTGTAGAGGAAATTTATTTAGCTTATAGATAACACGCCTTGCGTGCTTTTGCGCACACTGAAAGCGTGTTGTGCTTTTTCGCACGGAGCTTTTGTTTGAAAACTTTAACACGCTTTTTTGTTCGACTTGCTCACGCTTAATTGTCTCAAGCGTGTCCTCTGAAACAAAAGAAATTGCTAATGAGGCAAGATTGGAAGCGTGCTAAAGCGTGTTAAAATAAATTCTTTTGTTTTAAAGTGAAAGCGTGTCGTGCGCGTGCTTTCACCTTTAGCATTAAAATCCTGTGGAGGGTCACACTTGTGGCGTTAACGTTTTCTGACGTTTCTTTCTTTTTTTCTTCAGAGTCACGTCATCTGTCATATGACCAAGGTGGCGGGATGGTGATTAATGAAATGAAAATCATATTTTTTTTTTAATATTTCCAACACTTCACGTTTGGAATGAATGTGTATTGCACTTCAATAAAAACTGCCAGAACAACGTCATTTTAAAGCCGGCCAAAGTTTAGCCTGCGTAGAAGACGTTATTTAATCCCGGATGGTATCGACTGCGAAGCAGCGGCAAAATCCTTGTCCAGGCCCCTCAGCGGATTCAACGAATTACCGGAAATGTGTTTCGAATTTCCTTTCAACCTGATTGGCAAATCTACAATATCATATTTTAACAGGCCAATCATGGCGCGTACTCAAAGCAAGGATTTCGGCGCTACAATGTATTTCGCCAGACGGACTGAACCAGAGTTTAGTTTCGTCTGTAGCGCTGGCTAGCCAAAATTTAGTGTTAAATTTATCAAAAACTTTCATAAGATAGTAAATTTTGAATATATGCATCATTCTAAACGTGTAATGTAAATTATATTTCCTATAGAGTGATATGGCCAAACAATCTTAATTTCCAAACACACTTGTTGATAGACAACTTTGACAGAGGCCTTAAAAAACCCTAATTTGAGTAATATGATCGAGTTTCAGCTGCGTAACACTTACTATTGTATTCTTTGTTTAAAAGCTTTGAAATAATGTTTAACCCGTCGGGTGTTTCATTTCTTGCCAAAGTCTTTTCTAAGGCAACGGCATACTGGTAAACAGCATCGTAAAGAAAGGCTGCGTATACTGGTACCTGTAGGTTAAGGTAATATACCTGTAGGTTAGTTAATGATCCCCCCCTCCCTTAAGCCAACACTTTGCCCACGGTAAGAAGTAAATGTTAAAGTTGGCTTATGGGAGGGGTAGTAGTATAGGGCGCACCGGTTACTCCGGTTTTTTGAGCAGGAATCTCATTAGCGTGAGCAGGAATACATTAACACCGATGACGTCATAGGCTATTGTCTTGATCTCATGAATAAAATGCGCAGGGATGCCATTAAGATAAGGTCATGTGCTATTTTTAGTTGGTTTAGGATATCTAGTTACTTTAAGGTCGATAAACGTCTTCGTTTTCGATTGTTTAGTTAGAAAATAAGAAAAGTTTTTATTGGTTAATTCGTACTGTCTGAGGAGTAAAGTCAAACTTGTCTGTGACTTAAAATCACAGAGGCGTAATGTAATTATGCAAGTCCTATTTCCTGCTGCTGTGATTGTCCTAGTTCCGGTTCACTGACTTTTGGCGGGCAAATCGTGCGTATTAATGAGGGCAAAGACAAACTAGCTCTTGTCCTATTTGCTGCTGCTGTGATTGTCCTAGTTCCCGTTCACTGATTTTTGGCGGGCAAATCGTGCATATTAATGAGGGAAAAGGCAACATAGCTCTTTTTTTACACTGCAAACAATGTTTTACTTACCCCTCTCCTTGTCACAATTTTGTTATTTTCCTTCCGCAATTTTTTTATTCCCATTTTTCCCTCCTCCTCCTCCTCATTTCTATTGTTTTCCCTCCACCACCATCACCACTACCGCCACATTTCTATTGTTTTCCCTCCACCACCACCACCACCACCACCACTACCACCACCGCCACATTTCTATTGTTTTCCCTCCACAACCGCCACCACCACCACCACATTTCTATTGTTTTCCCTCCACCACCACCACCACCACATCATTTCTATTATCTTCCCTCCACCACCACCACATTTCTATTGTGGTGGTGGTGGTGGAGGAGGGAAGACAATAGAAATGTGGTGGTGGTGGAGGGAAGATAATAAAAATGTGGTGGTGGTGGTGGTGGTGGTGGAGGGAAGACAATAGAAATGTGGTGGTGGTGGAGGGAAGATAATAGAAATGTGGTGGTGGTGGTGGTGGTGGAGGGAAGACAATAGAAATGTGGTGGTGGTGGAGGGAAGATAATAGAAATGATGTGGTGGTGGTGGTGGTGGAGGGAAAACAATAGAAATGTGGTGGTGGTGGTGGCGGTTGTGGAGGGAAAACAATAGAAATGTGGCGGTGGTGGTAGTGGTGGTGGTGGTGGTGGTGGTGGAGGGAAAACAATAGAAATGTGGCGGTAGTGGTGATGGTGGTGGAGGGAAAACAATAGAAATGAGGAGGAGGAGGAGGGAAAAATGGGAATAAAAAAATTGCGGAAGGAAAATAACAAAATTGTGACAAGGAGAGGGGTAAGTAAAACATTGTTTGCAGTGTAAAAAAAGAGCTATGTTGCCTATGTTGCCTTTTCCCTCATTAATATGCACGATTTGCCCGCCAAAAATCAGTGAACGGGAACTAGGACAATCACAGCAGCAGCAAATAGGACAAGAGCTAGTTTGTCTTTGCCCTCATTAATACGCACGATTTGCCCGCCAAAAGTCAGTGAACCGGAACTAGGACAATCACAGCAGCAGGAAATAGGACTTGCATAATTACATTACGCCTCTGTGATTTTAAGTCACAGACAAGTTTGACTTTACTCCTCAGACAGTATGAATTAACCAATAAAAACGTTTCTTATTTTCTAACTAACCAATCGAAAACGAAGACGTTTATCGACCTTAAAGTAACTAGATATCCTAAACCAACTAAAAATAGCACATGACCTTATCTTAATGGCATCCCTGCGCATTTTATTCATGAGATCAAGACAATAGCCTATGACGTCATCGGTGTTAATGTATTCCTGCTCACGCTAATGAGATTCCTGCTCAAAAAACCGGAGTAACCGGTGCGCCCTATACTACTAGGGGTAGGTGGGTAGTTTCCCAGAAATGTATAATGATCCTAAAAATTATACTGGAACACTCAGAGGGACTATATCACGTTATTTCTTATTTAAAAAAAAAAAAGCTAAAACGTGTGTCGTATCAGTTAAATTCCAAAAATAAAGGACATGTATTGTTTTGTTTTTAAGACCACATTTAAGCATTGAAACTGTTTCTTGTCGTCTGTTGCTACGGGTGGCGGAAGGACGGACATGGATCAAATCTTGAAAAAGTTAGGCTGAATTGTTGAAGTTTTAATGCTATGCGCTAGTAAATATCTCCAAGACATTTCTTATGGCTAGTGTGCCCTGATAAAATTTGTTTGATACCTTCTTCATAATTCTACAGGGCTGGAGCATTTTGAGTGTGGCTGAAGGCGCAAAGTAATTACTTCAGCACAGAATTAACCTAAAACACCCAGAGTTGTAAAACACCCATTTCTTCGTGATATAATCCCTTTAAAATGCTTACCATAAATCGGAACAGGCCGCCTGGCTGGTCATTTTGATCATGACAAAGGCTTTTCTAGAGAGGTTTCGCTAATAACCTATCTCTGTCGTGAATGAAACTTAGAAAAAGACTGATCGGGCTTGATAGTCCTGATTTCTGATTGAAAGCAAAATTCTCTTTTTTGGCTGGTCAGTTCCGACTAATGGTCAGCGCCTCAAGTTGTAGGAAGACATTCCTGATAGGTCGTCAGTGGGTACAGAACGATCGTTATACGAAATGAAAAAAGGCAACGAATTTATTTTAGTTTTGTATATTTTCCATACAGTAACCTAATAAGTTTTGTCAATTTGGTTATAAAGAAAACAAATTTAACCAACGGGGATTATCAAAACTTTGCTATCCAGTCTTCACTGAATTAAGTTGACTCTACTATGAGGGGCTGCTTACATGGACGGAGGAAGCAGTGGTGGATCCAGGGGAGGGGCCTGGGGGGCCCGTCTACCCCCTCATTTTTAGACCAAAATGAGACCGGGCCCCCCTTATCTCAGGGTCTGGATGACCGCCCCCCATCCCCACCCCCCACCCCTCTCTATCTGAAGGTCTAGATCCGCCACTGGGAAGATTCGTTGAGTTTACATGCAGAAAGTTTGGTCCGATTACCCACTAAACGACCCGCCGCCATTTTTGTGTGGTTTGTACCTGGTACTGGGCCCTTCCTAGCGAAAACAGTTGACATGGTGCTTCGCTAGGAAGATCCTAGCACTAGGGACAAGTAAAACTTTTTGCATGTAAATTGATTACGTGAAACATATGGCGCTAGGATGATTCGCCTTTTAGGGTGTTCCTGGAATTAGGATCTTCCTCCCTTCAGGTAAAAAAACAGCGAGTACTGGCTGAAACACGCATATAGCTATCAACAGCACAGTTTGACAGGTCAAAAAAAAAAATGTATACGTTCAAATACGATAAAATTTCTTGACACAAAAAAGTCTAAATTACAATGTCTAGGTCTCCTGTTTTTTTTTTTAGTCAGTAAAACCTGCAAGTGTGAAAATAACATTATTTGCAAAAAAAGGGACAAAATAAAGAAGCAGTAAAAACATCAGTATTGCTTACGTACTTACCTCAGTCTGGTTTTTTGGTGGGAAATCTGTGTTGTCGAATAAGTGGCCTTCATAAACTTGGCTGTAAAAAGGCGACTCTTTAGACCGCTGTTTTACGGTTTGCTGGAAATCTGTGTACGATCTGCTGCTTTCGTTTATATTCAATGACATCACCAGAGCTGAGTCAAAAGCCTGTTGGAATTTGCATCTGCTGTAGGAATCGTTGCTGTCGCAATGGGGGTACGCCCAGGAATGAGAGGTGTTTTTGTTTACTAGAACCTCGAGGTGATTTAAGAAAAAGAGGATGAATGCATAATCACCATTGGTGAGTCCCTCTTCACAAGCAGGAAGAAGCAGTTCTTTTGCGTAACGGAAGTCTTCCAGTACAATAATAACTGTAAATGAAACAACATCATTGTTATTAGGTCCAATATAATGCACGTTTACAACGAGGGTTATTCGGCTTTGGTTTTAATGAAAGTATTGTAGGAAGTGCAAGTTAAAATGGGACCCATGAAAATAGAGGTCTAGAATAACTGCTAACCACCCTGCTTCTTATAATTATTACTATACTATCCAAGAGAGGTTATCATTTTCATTACCATTGTCGTTGTTGTTATCGTTCTCAGTCTCATTCTTATTGTCATTATCATTATCAATGTCATTATGGTTATTGTTATCGCAATCAGTACTACAGTAAACACCTGCATATAAGAACAAATGGATCAAGAACACCAGGCTGAAATTTGGCCAATAAAGCCCTATTTTTATGAGAACAAGATCAGCCTGAAAATTGTAACATGGAAAAAGTGTCATGAATACAAAACATGTAAGTTTATGTTTGCTGTCAGATAACTTCATTTATTAATATAATCAAATTACAGAATAATTATTTATTTTATTTTCCTAAAATATACTAGATATACCTCTAGCAACATGTTTTGGATAGCATTACTAAATAAAAATTTGAGAACCTTTTGAGGCTGATTTTTCATCAAGCACCCGATAAATAAGAACTCAATCAGCCTGAACTCCGAAATCGTGTGTTCTCAGTTATATGCGGGTGTTTACTGTATTTCCCTATTTTTTTTGTGGCGTTGTCGGACAGAAATGTATGCTGCGCCTTGTTGTTGTTATTAGTGGCCATGATCGCGCAAAAAATTGTTACTGTTCCATTCTGGGAACTACCGCTTTATGCCTTGAGTCACTCAACGCAAACTCTAGAAAGACATTAATCCGGCCACCTCCGTCTGTAAAAATACACGTAAAACAGCAATCACTAATTTGTTTGCTCACTTCTAGCCTGGTCCTTGATTAACTTCAATTTCCGCTTGGCTTGTTTCATGTATTCTGTTTCGTTGAACTCGAATAGGTCCGAATCGTCAAGCTCTACTTCTATCCGGATCTTAATCTTTGCCAGTTTCAGCTTTTTGACGATGTCTTCCTTGCGAGTTAACCATTCTTTCTTTTTCGTAAACATGAGGCCCACATTTTTCCACTTGTAATACTGAAGCAACATAGTTAGGTACTCGGGTATTTTCGATGCTTGCGCGTAGGTTCTCATAAACGTCGAATAAAGCTTCTTATTTGAAAGTTCAGTGCTAACGCACATCTATGCAAAAAGGAAGCATAAACAAAGAATAAATAAATCAAATGAAAAAAACAAATTGATGATCTAAGGATATAGCGACCTCTACCAGTACTTACTCAACTTATGTTCTCTCGTAGTCCTCGACGATTTTGAAGGAAACCTCTACGGTAATTTTCAATGTAAAGTTAATGATCTGAAATTGTTGGAATGAACGTCTATGGTAATTCCAAAACAATTTTCGTGAACGTAAAGAGTTTAAAGAAAATTGCTCAATCTCCATCGCTGCCCCAACATTTTGAATACTACTAATAAAGGCTTTTCGTTTGCTATCCTGGTTTTGTACAAAAGAGGGTAAATAACTTGATCGTGGAACCGAAAAATGTTTGAAAGTAGCAGGCCGTAGATACTTAAAAAGGCGAAATTTTAAGCATATTGTCTAATCTTTGGCTCATTTACATTTTCGTAAATATTCAATCGGTGACAAAATTGTTAAGACATCGCCGTCAAATGGGGTCACTTCAGAAAACAAAACAATCTCCTTCACTTAAAGTTCCCGGATATGTCGCGTTCTCCTCTTCATTCAAAGTTGATCGAGGTGTTGTTTTCTATACAGGTAGCTCGAACAGCGGCACAGCATTATGTGGAGGGGTTGGGGGAGAAAAAAACTTATCTTTCCCCTTTTTTCAGTTAGCAAAACGTCAAAGAGGCCCTCTAGGCCAAGGAGACTCAACTAATTTTGTTGCAGATTGTTGCTATTAATAAAAGAAGTTGGAATTTAGAATTCATTTCTAACAAGTTGAAGTCGAATTATTGAAAGCAGAGGACCCTTATTCTTGAAGACCCATAGGAACAACTTATTGGGACAGGTAATCATTTGTTTAAATCGCTACTAGGGAAAGTTTTTAGCGAGAGCTGGAAGACCCCTGGTCATTGCCATACATTCTCTCCGAGTACGTTCCTGAAGATTTCAAATTCTCCGTTTCCTTTTGGCCTGAAATATGTCAATCAGACACCGTGAACTTAACAATATCTTCTCTTCCTCTGCAGCTGGTTGGACAAGAGAAGGCGCCCATTGGCTCTTTTTTTCTTCTCATAAACTTTACGGCTGCAGTTTTTTCACTCGTAACATGATGTGGGACTGTTAGCTGCCCCTGGGTTTCCAAGGATACTACAAGGATGCGATGGCACGGCACGGCCGTATAAGAGTCTAAATGTTGTTTCTTTCAGGCAATCTCAATTGTACCAGAAGGTTAGTGCAGTTGTAATTCAGTCTAAATGGAGGATAACTTCCAGTAGGACTGTCTCTCTACTCAGTATCCGAGAAAACAGCCAACAAACAAAAACAACAACAAAACCCCGAAATGAAATTATTGTTCAGTTGACGTTAGATCTTATTAGAGGTCTAACTCTATTCAGCAGACACGCAACTTTCAAAAGGTAAAAAAATAAAAACAAAAAAAAGAAAACAGCTGACGTAACTTGAACGTTAGATGTGTGTCGTCTGGCTAAAAAGGAAAAAAGTGTATACTCACATATGATATCATGGGAACATTAAATGCAGCAGCTATCCGAGCTGAAGTGTTGCAGTTGCATCCGGGCCCGATAATTGCAGAAACTTTTTCCTCGTATAACTGATGAATTAGCGCACGTATAGTCTTGTTTTCGTCCCCTTCTTCGCTGCAATTTGTCTCATTCCAAACAAACGTAATGTTATGGTCCTTCAAAAGGTTATTATCCTTATTGATGTCGTCAATAGCGATGCTGATGGCAGACGCATAGTAGTTCCCTTGCTTTGTGTATTCTGCTTGTTTTAAAGGGATGAGCAGGCCTAGTTTGTAATTCATTGCCTCGGTGACGGAAAATAAGAGTAGAAATGCCAATGTAGTAACCATGGTTTACAGCTTTTGTTTACCAGTAAATTTGTTTCAATTGTAACTCTCTCGTCGCCTTCTTCTTTGTTGCGCCGCTTGCTATAAGGAACTTGGTTAAATAATTCTCGAAGGCACGTGATGGCGTCGCTCGTAACCTGAAACCTGCACTTGACCTCCAACTTCAGGCAAATGAGTGCTAGCAATAGCTATATTAATTTCCTTTTTGTTCAACGTTATATAAAGAGTTTTTGTATGTGTAAATAATTCATGAATGTCAGTGAGACCTCATGCAGTATGGGTTAATCCAATATCATCTGGTTGGAATCTATCAAACTGGACGTTTGCTACTAAGCAATGTATGACTTAACCAACTCCGAGTCCGTATTTCCTAAAGCGACTTCCGCTACCTTTTTTAGTGGAAAAATAACGTCAGCCTAGTAACTTTTAAGACTGAAGATCTTCGATGTTCTGTAAAATAAAAAGGGAGTTTATAACATTATTGTTATAAATAAATATTGTTATATATTGTTTTTTTTTTTTTCACAAAAGAGGCAAGAGTGGCAGTAAACTACCAAAAATAAATTGTAGTAGATGGAACAGTTATACGTCGAAGATCGAGAGTGTTCAGCATGCATCTGGTGATGGGATATTAGAATATTATTATAATTATTGGAATATTTCATCAGTTGCGGCAATAAGTATGATATCCCTATTTCGGACAAAGACAGATGGAGGTAAAATACTTGTTATATATGGTTGCTTACAAATCTTGTAATCTTCATTTTTTGCGGTCACTGGCAGAATCATACTGCAATAGATTTTTCACATCGACAAGAGACACGGGTAGATACATGTCACGTGACTTAGTGTTTGACATAGAAGAAAATCCAGTTTAGCACCTGTCAAAGTTTGCCAACTTGCAGGAAACTCAATCTGACAGACCATAACACTTATTCAAATAAAAGCGGCACCATCAAACATCCTTTAATATTAACGAAGAATTCTCATACAAATTTGACAGAAAGAAGGCATCGATAAGGACAAACTCCAAACAATTCATTATTGACACGCACGAATGTCTGCTTTAACCCTTTGTACCGTTCATGGTGAATGTAGTTAAAAAACGTTGGAAATCAGTACTTGTATTAAAAGGCAGTAATTAACCTAGTAAGTAAACGTCGTCAAGTCCTTTGCTGTATAGGTGAGCGGGTCACAGACTGTTGGTAGGCCATTTTTAAGTGATGTTCTTACTTAGGGAGAAGAGCAGTAACTGGTGACTGAATTTCTACCAAATTGATTTTTCACAGAAAATTCTTCGTTTTCACTGTCACGCAATAAACACGGCACAGTGGAAGAAGCCAAAAACACAGTTTCTGAGGTATTTGCCGAAACATTTCACGCACCTTTGCAGAACTTTGTATAGGGACGCCATATTGATGGCCACCGGAAATCAACAAAAACATCTGGAGTTCACTTTTTCCATAAAAGCTCTTCCTTTTCACTCGAGAGCTAGCATACGTGCGCATAAACACATCTTTTAATATTTGAAATGGTTAAACTTTCAATGAGACGTCAATTTCCTATTTTGGTGACACGCACTGTCGAAACTCGGAAGTTCAAATTGCTTCGAAATGAAACATGCTTCGGGGCTGGAAACTTGTACAAAGATTTATTTTCCATTTATCTTCAACCTAGGGTATTAGTATTAGTCTTTCGATGTCAAGTACGCACTTTTATTGATTCGCACACACACACACATCACTGGAAAACTGAAAATGATAAAAAAAAGCTACGTTGTTTGCGAGAGATTTGAATTATCAGCTTACAGCTGTACGAATAAAGTAAATACCGTTAAGATAATCCTTCCCTCAGCGATTTCGGAAGTTTTTTTTTTTGCTTCCTTTAGAAACTAACGCCATTTTCACTTCAGGAGGCAGTTTGATTGACTTTTAAAAGGGGCGGAGCGGGAATTGGGTTTGAATTGTCAATGAAAGAAATGAGGGTAGGAAAAGGTATACACATAAACCAGTAACTGGTATACTAGTTATTCCCTTACATTTTAATTCCTAAAACCACTATTTCAAACATCCACCCCGGATTTTTATTCAGTAAAAAAACCGTTCGAAAAATCATCCAAACATTCTCAATCATTAATTAAACCAATGACTCCGACCGTCGAGCCATGATTTGATTGAGTAAAATATTGGTTTTGAAGAACAAGGGGGAAAGAAAACCAAGGTTTTTGACCAGAACACCCCCAATTAAAATTACAATTTAAATATGTGTTTGTTCATTTACAGCAAGTCCAAACAATAAACATCTGAACTAGGTTAAAAATAAAAATATATATCCTACGAAAACAAAAAACCCTCGAAAAAGTGATGTAACCATGTATTATTTTAAAAAAAGCGCAAACACGACACAGATTATCACTAGATAGGAAAGGCTTCCCAGTATATAGCCTCTTGCCTTGATTAATTTGAACATCTCTGTGTCCTGATGCGTAATTGTTTCTAGAACGACTTCCTAAGACGCGTTCATTAAAAATAAATAAAACTGTTTGCAGACAGCATCAAATAGTCATTTTTCATGAAGCAAAGCAATCGGCGAAGAGTAAAGATATATAAAAGGAAGAGAAGTTCCTTCTCACAAAACCCCTGTCTCGGAGGTTTGGTTGATGTCTGTGCGTACTTCTTCTCGTGTACTCTATAAAGCCACTGCACGTGTCGTTTCTCCCAGTGCAGCTTTGTTCAGAGTCATTTTCTTTTCACCCCCAAAACCTGGCCTGGCTGGCTTCCTTGAGCGGTGTCAAGGGCCATGTGTATAGTAACTATAAAGACTTTATTATATCCTTTATTGGGAGACAAGCACGGACACTTGAAAAGACCCAAATTAAAAGGGATTGTTAACTTTACCCATGCTATTAGCAGCTTCGAATTATGCGACAGACTTATTTTTACGGACTCAGCTTCCGGGGTACTCCCTTCTATAAGCCATATAGGTATATGCCGCCCCAAAAGGTGTGGGTTTTGCGCCGTTTTGGTCTGAAGACGGGTATAGACTTTTTCCATTTTGGTCTGGAATCGGGTATGGTATTAAAGTAACCACGGGAGTGTATGAACGTATTTATCGTAAGGGTTTCGGTTCAGCTGTCAGTTCCAAATGAGTAAGACAGAAACGGAAATGTCCGTTTTCGAAATGAATTTTAAGAAATCATTTTTGCTGTAGTTCTAATCTAAGTAATGATGACATAATTTCTTTTAGTATATACACACTCAGTGATCTTGGTGATTTAAGCAATCTGATTGGTTCGCTAGCTATCTCGGACTATTCAACAATATTCACCTCCTAGCGAGTGGATAATGTGTGAGCTCGGTGTCTTTTCCATTTTTTTTTAGAACGATCTTTTAAAAGTCGACAAAATCCTAGGGCTGACTTTTTTTAAGGCAAGAAAAGACTTGGAAGGATTCAATACGGCGTTTTTCAATTTACCGTAGCTGAGTTTTGTGCTCGATGGATTGTTTACAACTCCCGTGTATTCGCGTAGAAGAAGCCGTTTCGTGAACTCAGCGTTTTCTAACAAGAGAATTTTGGCTCAAAAAGCGAAGTTTATTTATGACAAACAAATTTAAAAGGAAATGTTTGCAGAAATTCTACGTTTCAGGTAAACAGGAAAAAGAATGATAAAGGAAGACGACGTCTTACCTCGAGGAACCGAGCCGCCATTTTTTTCAGCACTTCATGCGAAGAACGGCACAACAAACCCTTTTGGCTATAAACTTGGCGAGTCAACAGAAATCAATGAAGCTCTACTTTTCTTCTCAGGTAAGGAAACAGTTCAAACTTTTGGCGGTTCCATTTAAGCCATTACGCTGTTGTTTACGAAATGATAAACTTGTGAATTGCCATGTTTGAAAACTCTGCAAAGATCTATTTTTAAACTTTAATACGTGTGATTTGATCTGTCAATCAAATCGTACTTTTTAATGGTTTCCTCTCTGATTTTGTTGAGATCACTTCGTGTGTATATACTAAAACAATTATTCTTTTCAATCTCGGTGAATAGTGGCTTTGGGAATATTTACCTCGCCGCGATATTTAGCCACTATTCACCTCGATTTCAAAGAATGATGGTTAAATAGACCAGGTCTGAAAACGGATTTTAGAGGCCAGGGGCGCGTTTTCTCGAAAAGTCCAATAACTTTGAAAGAAAAACCTTGCTACAAGGACTTGTCTTCCCGATTTTGAAGATATATGGAAAGTTAATGAAAGTTCGATAAATATCCCATCAATAGACTTTTAAGGTTCTAGAACATTCTAAGTGTTTACCTTTAAAGATGCAACATGATGAATAACCAAATTACTAAAATAAGCTTTGCATGCAGAAAGATAAATATTAACAGTATGCTTTTTGAGAGTGGGACATCTTGTCTCAAAACTTGACGTCCCTCAGAACATAGTTATCTTTTAAATGAACATTTCGACCTTTTTAGCAATTAACTAAGGAAGCATAAGTTTTGTGGCTCGTTTTTGTTTGCAGATACATCCTACGCAATACATGTAAACCTATAATCAATGACCACCAAACAAGTAAATAGAGAGCTGTTGAGAAGTAAGCTTTTATAAGAAGGAGTAAGCAGTTATAGATAGATAGAGAAAGAGAAGAACATCAGGAAGAATGTAAAACCGCCTTGCGAGTAAGTAAAATAAGTTTAACCAGTGCCGTAGCCAGACCAAACGGCCAACCGAGGCAGGCGGGAGTTGCTAGGGGGGGTTCGGGGGCATGCCCCCCCCCCCCCCCCCC